AAGAGAAGATGTTAGTATTTTAATAAGAATAAAACAAATATTTTAAAAAAAAATCATAGTAGGATAAAATATTGATTTTTTAAATATATTTAAATATTTATATTTTAACATTATGAATGAAACAAATTGGATTGGGACTTGGGAGGGTTAACTTTATAAACAAATATTTACTATATGATCTGAATTGTAAATAAATCAAATATTGAAGGTTAAAAAATATGATAAAAATTGAAATGATTAAATGAAAAAAGTAAGAATAAAATAACATCAAACACATACAAAGTAGTAGCTAAGAGCCTAAGACAGGATTTTTCAGCATCAAAGCTCAAAAAGAAAAGAGGTCGTTACCTAAACGTGAATGGAAACAAAGCGTGAATGAGTTCCACGTTGAAGCAAGATTGTTTCCCACATCGACACGTTAATCCACACAACAACATCAGCACCAGTTGGTGAGACGCATGCATGACTCCTCAACCCAGTCAAAGGTTGAACTTGAATTCCCCCCCCCAACCACCAAATTTAAAATCACTCACAGATTCTACATTGCTTCATGTCGTCTCCATTAGCTCATCACCATTAAACCCTTTTCTTCCTCCTTTAAACAAAATTCTGCATATATCCGTTTGCATGCTGCTGTTCTGATGAAGAGTAAAGTCGGAGAACGTTTCTCTGAGTTCTACGATTAGTGGATGTGTCAACTCGATGTGTACCTGCAACAGTTACTGAACTTGTTCAAGGAGAGTAGTTTGATTTCTACTGAAGGTGATAAACAAGCTGCTATGGTGTCGAAACACACGACTCATTACAAAGAATACTACACCGTCAAATGGGCCGCCGCGCGTGAAGGCGCGCTCGCGTTTTATTGCCCGGTTTGGTTAAGCAAGCTGGAGGATGTTTATTCGTAGCTGACGGGTTGGAAGCCGTCTATGCTACTCAAGCTCGTCGAGTCAATGAGGAGGACTCGGGTTCCGGGACCGGGTTTGGCTGAGTTGGCGAAGGAGCAAGTGAGGAAGATAGAGCAGTTGAGGTGAAGATAAAGTTGGAGGAAGAGACAGCGGAGAGGGAAATGGAGAGGCAGCAAGTGGCAATGGCTGACAGGGAAATAGTCGAGCATGGTTCGGATGGCGAGGCGGATAAGGAACGAGGATCTGGTGGCGGTGGCGATGAAGGGGGTACTGGCGGGGATGGAGAGGGTGATGAAAGCGGCGGATTGTGTGAGGCTCAAGACCTTGAAAGGTGTTCCTGATGTGCTGAGTCCATCTCAGTCTCTGGATTTTCTTGCTGGGACTAGCATGCTGCAGATTCAGCTGAGGAAATGGGGACAGAGAAGGGACAGCCAAAAGGGTCTGATTAACCCACAGTTACACAATAATCTTATTTTTAAGACAAAAAGAGACGACTCACTGAGTTTTTGTGTAACAACATGTTTAAGAATCGACCCCTATTGTGTTTTGTCCATGTAGTATTGTAGTTTGCCTTCTCCACTTTCTGTTACAAATTTGCATTGCATGGAACTTGAACAAATATATAAAAATGAAAATTTGAAGTATATCCGACATTACGAAAAAATCCGAAACATTCAACGACAAAAGCACAGCAACAACAGAACTCTTGCTTCCGACAATCATAAGTCTGCATCAGAGTAATTGAACTGATTTTGAAACCATAACTTTTGCTTCAGATTCAGATGGGGGATCTCTGTATGTCACCTTCAACATTATCAAAAGGATTATTCACTTATTCTTTTTCAGACAATAATAACTCCGCTTCAGAGTAATTGAACTGGTTCTGAAACGATAACTTTTGCTTCAGCTTGAACATGTTATTATTGTGTTCATGATGCCTCTTGTGGATATTTTTTTCTCATATATTTGCATATATTACATGCAACTATTTATATATACATGCATTTCTGGCTAAACTCTCGAGATGATGTTCTCGAATAAATTATTTCACGAGATAATACTCTCCCAAGATTAATTGTTCAAATAGGGTGAAATCTACAGTTGGTCGTAGGTCGCCATATCTTCCCGACGAGCTATGAGAGAGATTGTATGTGCCATGCACGTCCCAACACGTTGGGCATCCGAGGTCATCCGAGCGAGCTATGCGAGAGCATCCGAGGCCATCCGACCGAGGGCAACTAACCGAGCTATGCGAGAGCATCCGAGGGCAAGAGGAATCACATGAGGAGCAGGAGGGAGTGCATGGCGACCTACAAGGTCGCCCGGAGTGCATGGCGACCTATGCTTGGGGACGTGCATGGCTGGCCACGTAGTAGGTCTCCCGGAAGGCATGGCGACCTACGGCCAACACTGTAGATTTCACCCTATTTGAGCAATTAATCTTGGGAGAACATTATCTCGTGCAATAATTTGTTCGAGAACATCATCACGAGAGTTTAGCATGCATTTCTTGTTATCTTAAAGAATATGCAGCATGCCTGCACACAGATGCATATAAGAATATTCATGCATGCCGTTTTACAATTGTTCCTTGTAATCTTAGCAGGTCTGAGTCTGTTTCCAAAAGAAGATTGATCACATCAATATGCCCCACAGCAACAGCTGTGTAGGGTAATTGTTCCTTGCAATCTCAAACCGATTTCAAGTAGAAGGGTTATCTGGTTATCAACACTCAACAACTTGGAAAGGAATATATACTTGACTATTAGTTTGATTGGTATCGTTGCTAGAAGAATGTGTGTTCCTGTGTTCTTAAACATTCGCTGCTATCGTCTTTATTGCAATATAAAGAAGAATGTGAATTCGAGTGTTTTTAAACATTTATTATCCTCTTTTTTATTGAAATATAGTTTACACATGCTATAAAAAGAAATAGTACAATAAGTGTGTGCAGTTAAACCCATCACCTAAACAATATCTAAAACCTACAAATCATGATGGGCGGTTTGGCAATCAAGTAAAATATCATTTAAAATAGGATTATAGGCTTGGTTTTTTTATTTATTAATTCATTGCACATATATAATTCAATGGTCCAAGGTTTCTTTACACTAATGTTTGGAAAGGCAAAGGTGCCAAAATAATGATGTGGGATTTTTTAATTCCTAAACTAAAACACTCATCTGATTTATTCTTGATATAGGGTGTTTTTTACAGGAATTTGGGATTTTTCGGCGTCTTTAGAGGGTGTTGAATTGTTTCTTGGATCTCTAGGCATAAATGTAGGAAAAAATTGGCATTTTTATACAAATATCACCTTAACATAAATTAATTACTTGTTAGGCACTGTTTAAGAATATTTTACGAATCTAGCAAATTATTGTATTATTTGATTTATTAATTATTTTATTTAAATATTTTATTTTTTTTGCAGTTATAAAATGAAAAGCGGTCTGCTTCGATTGGATGTAAATTTGTATAAGTTAACAGAAACAATGATGTTTACGGTGCATGGGTCGCGCCTTAAATAATTATATTCGTATTTCTCGACTTTTAAACTTTTCTCTCGGCTATAAATATGCTCTCAACCCGTAAACATTCACAGCAATCCTCTCAACTAGGAGAATGTCGTCGCTTCAGTACAGATATCCAACATCATTGTTTCCGTTAACTTATACAGATTTACATCCAAACGAAGCAGACCGCTTTCCATTTTATAACTGCAAAAAAAATAAAATATTTAAATAAAATAATTAAAAAATCAAATAATACAATAATTAAATAAAATACTAATAAAATATTAAATATAACGTAGCAGATCGCTTTCCATTTTATAACTGCAAAAAATAAAATATTTAAATTACTTACTCTCTATGTTTTCCTAGAATATACTATACGTATATGATTTTGAAAGGGTAAAAAACACATCAAAAAGTGTCAAGTGGTAATTGGTAGACATAATTGTATTGTGTAATTTAATGCATGAATAATTTTATAGAAAGTATTTAAAAATTTGCTAGATTCGTAAAATATTTTTAAACAGTGCCTAACAAATAATTAATTTATGTTAAGGTGATATTTGTGTAAAAATGACAATTTTTTCTGTATTTATATTAAAGACGCCTAGAGTTTAAAAAAATAATCCAACACCCCTAAAAACACCAAAAGATATCAAATTCCTGTAGAAAATACCCTATATCAAAAATTAATCAGATTAGTGCTTTAGTTTGGGAATAAAAAAATCCCACATCATTATTTTGGCACTTTGCCCGTTTGGAAATGGTAGGTTGCGCATAAAGTTATATAATTTTATTATTCATAAAGGGTGGTTAAATGTAAAACAAAAGTAGGGAAAATCTGAAAAGGTTTTTGCAATTTAGTAAATCGATTTTACATAAAATAAACAGATTTGACAGTTAAAAGCAATAAGGGGCCATCACAATGATGTATCATTTTGTATCAGCAGAAAGCAATGGTGGAGGAGATGCATGATGAAGAACACCAAGCTGAAAACTTATCTGCAATGTCGTCATTGACAGTAAATAAACCAGATCCATGGAAGAATTGGACCCATGAGAGCATGTGCAGGCAGATTTCTTGAAGACAAGAGATGACATTCTTTTGAAAGATACTACTCCATAAGGCCATATGAAGGCAACCTTGGAAACAAGCAAATGGTGCGGCAATTTGTTTTATTTGAAACGCGGTTGAACCGAGATAAACTGCTCAAGGACAGGGAATGGTTGCCGGATTTGCAGTGAAGTCCAAGGCAAAGAATTGGATTATTCGATCACGGTAAGAGTAGCCATTGTAAAGACACGCAGGAAATAAGCACTTGGTTTTCGCTATCTTAATATGTTGCAGAGGTCCGAGTACTTTAAGATCTCAAAGGAAGTAAGATCTTTCCAGGTACTTGTCCTAGAGCCATAGGGAACAAGAAGATTTGGTGTGACCATGGTGGAAGCTATACGCACAAGAGCTCCAGATGTTTCATCCCAGAGTTAATATCGCACGATGCACCCTACTCGAGGTATAGATATAGGAATACAGTTTCAGTCCAGGTTTCCACCAAAGAAGCATTTTATATCCAACATATTTTCACAACAATCTGTTTATTCCTAAGCAAGACAAGCACCACATCCAATTAGAAAATTTGAAAAAAAAAATATTGTGGCCATTACATCACTAGAATCGGACTTTGATGTAACAGTGGCCTCGGCTTGCAGTTATGGTTGACGTATAAGGAAACAGAATTACAAGCTTGTATAATAACGACAGCTAACAAATCCAGTCGCAGGAGAAAAATGGTAGGCTGCAGCAAAATCTTAACCAGCTCTGACCATGTCGAAACCTAAACTGCCGAAACTAAGGCAGCGGGTACGAGGAATTCAATGATGCCCTTATTGTTTTTTTCCCCCTTAAGTTTTGGGTTGCTGAGAAAAGGGAGTTACTAGTTCCTGTAATGGACACAAATGTTAGGAGTTTACAAAGATTAAGTTCCAATCAGAGCAGACGATAGCATTGTTTAAAGAATATATAAGATTACCTGGGAATAGCGGACGTGATCATGATGTAAGTAAGAAGTTTTTACAATTGTTTCCCATTTGGCATCAGTAGGAGGTGGCTTTGGTTCATGCATTTTCGGTTTAAAACGAGTGCCATCGTACGACTGCGAAGATGATTTTCTAGAAGGCAGGGCACGCCAAAGCCAAGACTCCGATGGTGTTTTCGGAAAAGGAGGTGGAAGAGGAGAGTAATCGGAACCGGCACGAGCTTCATCAGCTGCTTTCGAATCAGCATCATCATCGGGGCGGCTCAGATTTCCATCAGCTCTAACTTGTATATGCTCCAAGGACTTAATTACCGGATCCAGTCCCCCATTTTGTCCGGGATCGGGCTTGTCGGAGAAAGAAGATTGACTGGGTTTCACTGACTCTGCGATTTTATATTCCGATATGCCTTTTCCATCCAAAAGATTGAGGCCTTTGGCATCCATAGTAGCAGGTTCTTCCAACGCTTTGTTCACTCCAGTGGAGTCCATTTGGACTTTGGTATCCGAGGAATTGAAAGTTGAAGTTTCAGCAGAATTCACAGTATCTACAAACAATGTTTTCTCGACTGCAAGGCTCGGAGAACTGGAGCCTTGTCCAGTGTTTCGGTACGGTACTAATTCGCGTGAGTTGTTATTGCTTCTGGTGTACTTAACCATCATATTGGCTTTGTATTTCTCAGCTTCTTTAGGCAAGCCAAGAAATCCCCCTCCACGGAAAGGTGATTGAGGTCTCTCCCTACGATAAGGAGAAATGCGACCACTACCTGGAAGCCTAGGGTGTTGAACTTCAGTATCCGATTTGTCTTTCGAGAGCCTCGGTGGTTGAAATGCACTATCTGATTTGCTCACTAGGAGCCTGGGGGATTGACCTCCCCTGTCTGGTTTGTCCTTCGAGATCCTCGGTGATTGAACAGCACTTCCTGATCTGTTCACTAGGAGCCCGGGGAATTGAACTCCGCTATCTGATTCGTCCTTCGAGATCCTCGGTGATTGAACTGCACTATCCAACTTGTTCACTGGAAGCCAGGCGTATTGAACTCCCCTATCTGATTTGTCCTTCAAGAGCCTCGGTGATTGAACTGCACTATCCGACTTGTTCACTGCAAGCCAGGTGGATTGAACTCCCCCATCTGATTTGTTCTTACGAACAACATCCCAAGCATTCTGCAATGGTACAAAATACCAGTACATGCTCAAGCCGGAGTATTAGAGTATCCAAGACTTACAGAAAGATCTTCTAATGGCGATTCAAAGGAAACAGAAAAGAATCCATACTAACCTTCTCAACAATTTGTCTTCGAGACTTCGAAATTTCACGAGCAGAAGACATTGAAGAGTGGGATCTAACTTTTAATCCAGGCACAGGATGTAAGAGGCCCAGAGAGCTCTGGAAGCATAACCGAGGCAATAACCCGCAAGCTTTTCTTGATAAATTGCCAGAATCCTGATAGTCATCAAATTCGTCTCCTGTTTCTTCTTCTCCTCCTCCTACATCCTGGTTATGATATGGAACGATAGCTGACTCGTATCGATTGAAAGGAGGTTTCCTATCCGCAATGACAGCTTTCTTAATCTCTCTAGGTTGTTCGGGTGCCACTGATTGCTTCCTATAAGCATACTTAGGTGTCTCCAGGGTCATTGCCACTGCAGCGGGCAAAAAGCGCTGCAACATGAAATCCTGAGTTTGTGGATCCGTAGAGAACGTTCCTGATGGTTTAGCAACTGGACCATCTGATCCACTTAGACCACTTATACTACAATTCATGGAGAATGCATCTGTTGGGGACAATGTCTCGAGCGCATTGGAATAAACATCATCGTCGTTGTCCGATCGCGAGACACATTTCTCGTTCATTCCCTCGTTCAAACAGTCTAAGTTATTCACATTATCATTCAGAGCATACGTTTCAGTTTGGGGCCTGACCACATCCTGATTTACGTACTCTTCCTCCATAGGACACTTGACAACCTTTGGAATCCTCCCAGGTGGAAGCCTGGGAGTACCCGAAGCTTCCTTATCGGGCTCGAACTCAAGCTCTGCACCACCTTTCACTTTCCCGGGGATCTGCTCCCACACAAAAGGAACCGCAACAGGTTCTGTCACCTGCTCCGAACTCGCATCCGAGCAATACCAGGGGAGAGCAAATCGTGCCGTGGGAGGAGGATTCTCAACTTTCTTCTGCTTATTCCGATCTGGAAAGGAAGATGTCCCGGAAAACCGCCTCACAGACAAAAGCGGAGCATTGAAATTCAATTTCCTCTCCTCCATTAACGTTTCACAAACAAGAAATTCAACAGATTTGTTCCCATTAAACCATGGCAAATACCTTCATCTCAAAGTTTTCCCAGAAAATACCTGAAAATATGCTAAAACTAATTACTTGAAGAACCTAGACTCACTGCAATATATCCGCATATGTACATACAATCAATATAATGAATCAAATCAAGAATTAAAGACAGAATTCAATGTATTACATCTCCCAACAACCAGGCAAAGATTTGTGTTTTAGTCCAATTGAACAAAGAACCGTAAATATACAAGATAGGGGTGGACACCGACACTAATTCTGAAAACAGAATTGATTATATGATCTGAATCTTATCTACTCCACCAAGAAGAAGTAAATCCTAGTAAAAGAAAATACAACAAACCTGGTAAAAACCTTAAATACTGTCATAAAGGGGGGGGGGGGAAACTTCACCTGTAAACGAACACCACAACCAAAAGAAACAAGTATCTTCATCTTTGACAGAAACCTAGTATTGCTTTCAAGTTTCAAGCTTTACACAACATAAACATTTGATGAAACATGAAAAGGAAAAGACCATTACCTGAAACACGAATGAAAGAAAAGATGCACTTATGGCAGTGAGCAGCGAGTTTTGTTTTTGAGGTTTGGGGTATCCTAAAATGGTGGCAACAGTTCAGGGAATGAGTGAGGATAAAGAGAGAGAGTCTTGAGACTGTAGATTCCAATATTCCAGTTCCAAGACTTTGTCATATGGGGATAAGCTCAGAATCTGTTTCAGTTCAAAGATCGCACGTCGCGTTTGGAAATCACGCGTACAAGGTACTTTTTCTTTTTTGCATTATTTAAGAAGGCAACGAGTGAAGCAGAGAGCTGAGAGAGAAAGCCATGCCATGAAAAAAAGAAGCAAAACTACATATCCTAATTTACATCAACAATATAAACAAAAATGGATGTTTGTTTAGATTTTTAATTTTTAAAGGAAGATGAAACCATAGTTGTTGGATTCTTGTCATAATTAGAGTGAAGGAGGAGAGGTTGTGGTCACGAGTCACACAGTTGAGAGATGGTCGGATTATGATGCCTGTTAATCCATCGCTTCTTTTTAATACTCAATACTCCAACTGTATTACTTCAATCCTACTTACACAGATTAATAAAACAAAATAATTATTGAAGATATTATTATTAATAAAAAGAAAATTAATAGTTTAAGAATTAAACTAAAAACAATAATTTAAATTAAACACTTATAATACGATCCGGTGAATCCAATCTAATTATAGTAAACCTTATGTCAAAATTAAGAGTTTGGCCATTAGAACCAGATGTATATTATTATTTTAGAAAATTTATTAAATATAGTTTAATATATTAAATAAATAAATAAAATTTATATATCTATTTCATTATAAAAAGAATGTTGAAATTTTTAAATTTAGTGATTCGTTACTGGTTAAAATTTATAAAAGTGCATAATATTAAACCGACACTATTGAATGATGAGTCCAAGCAGCATTAATCAATCATTGTCTCTTATTAAATTTATAAGCAAAAGGGTAGTTTGGATTTTGACTATTACCCAAAACGACAACTTTTGTACCTAATTTTATGTGATAGAACTAATTTAATTACATGATATAATCACTTTTATTATATGATAAATGAATTTGATTGAAACCTGATAAAGTAGGCAGATCAGAATCCATGGTTGAAACACGCGTCCCCTTGCAAAGTTGTTTGTCTTCAAATCACTCAAAGAGATGATTAAATTCTAAAATAAAGCCAACCTTTTTGTAAGTGGCTTTATTTTTGTCTCTAATTTTCCTTAATCAGCGGCTCAAAACACACGTCTTGGCTCATTTTACTAGCTTTGCCTACATCATCTACCTTGCTTAAGATCTGGTGTCTGCCAACCTTGACTGCATCTATATATGAGAGACAGATCCATATTCCATGGCTCACATCAAGTGGCGAGAGAGTATATTATTAGTGCAAATGTTTGCTTCTTACACATGGGGACCATTTTCAACTTCTTTTGATGGTTTCCATGGCACTCAACAACTTATGAAATTCTCTTCTGAGTCTCATGCCTCCACTTCCATTTACACATTAACCATGTTTTGAATGATTTTAAGGGGTTGAAAGTAAATTTTGGGTTATTATGGTTGTTAACCGTTCATCCTTTTTAATTTAGGTAGATAGTCTCAGTGGTTTAATAGAGATTGTTGAGTCAAAGATGATTAATGATGTTAGGTGGAGAAAGAAAGAGAGAGAAAGAAAGAAAGAGAGATTTCATAACCTTTTATCAATCTTATATAAAGATTTATGTAGTGATTCTTAATATTACTCTTAGTCCCAGGGTCATATGATGATTGTACGTAGACCGATAGTACTTTTAGATTTTATTGTTAGGTAGTAGATTTAATTCTGATAGATCGTAAACCCGTTAGTGGTTCTATCAAGAAATAGCTGACAATAGATTATAAATCTTCGAAATCTCTTATTAGCGGAAGAGTTTCTCCATAAGCTTTTGGTAGACCTGTGTGGTCTCCAAGTTATGATTTTGAGAGAAATTTATCAAGAAGAATAACAAAAATATTTATCATTATTGTTGATGTGAAATGTACAAGTCAAAAATTATTCTCATTAGATACAATTGAAGAATTGATACATCTTTAAAGTTTTGTCGATTTAAAAATATCTAAAACATGGATGAAATTAAGATTTAACTATGAAAGTTTAACTTTAAAATTAACAACATCCTATAAAGTAATCACACTGAAAATTAAAGGGGGGAGATAATGAATGCAGCTTGTAATATATTTTGGTGGTTGAAAGGGGGAAAAGAGATGGTGTAACCAACAATAATTTTGCATGCAACATGAGAATATGATACATATGGGCCCATACATGGGGAGTGCTTTTACCTAAAGGAAAAGGAATTGGTGTGGGGGAGAAATCCAACACACAATGCCCCAAGTGACACGCCGAGGAATGTAGAGCCGACTGCACATGGTGGGGACTCCGCATGTTTTATTTCCCACTTTGGCTAAATGAGATTTTCATGTTAACAACAATGACAATATTGATCAAGTCCAAAGCTCCATCGAGTATGTCAATTTGAATTACTACATATTCATGTAAAAGTACTTGGATGATTTACAAACATTACCCTCCCAAACAAAAAAAAACCTTAAGGAATTGGGAAGAAAATTATTGTCTCCTATGACTAAGAAAATATGGCATAAATTTGAAATTGTATTGTTTAACATCTGATTTAATTCCCTAGCTATTGGCTAACTTTTCCGTTACCCTAGCTAATGACCTAAGATTGCATCCCACTATCATATCTGCAAAAGATCGTGTATCTTCTTTGCTATTCCCCGCCGGGACATCCACCACGTACGACTCTACCACCACCGTTTTCCCACCGCCTTCACTTCCACTTTCATGCAGACTAGTGGTGGAACGGTAATTGACAAGCTTATGGTCACCACCGATGATGCTAACCATCATAACATGTGTGCCGTCATCGAGCCGATCTAGCCTCTCCATGCTCGTGGCAGCCGGCATCCCCGACACAACCATCACTTGTCGTACGCTCCCTATCCCACCGTCACCAGCACTCAACGTGCAGCTCTTAACGAATTGCTTGTAGGCTTGCGGGTTATCGAAACGGCGAAGAATGGACCATACTAGAGGAAGTGGTGCATCTATGGCTTGAACTAGGCTTGAACCGCATTGGTTTGGTGATAAGGCACCAGAGGGTTCATAATGGTTTTCCATTGCTTCTGCTATTACTTGGCTTGCACCATTGTATATAGATCCATTCAAAATTGGTGATAAAATATAGGGGGATGGATAACTTCAAAAACTGGGAAACTATCCAGGGATATGGAGACAAGGTATTTTGCTTTTGGTTGCAAGTTGAAGGCGGCGGTTCATTGATATTACGTAACGTTGGTTGCACTGCAAAATGCAAGCGATGTACCCATGTGAATGTGATAATGCAACTTGCAAATTTTCTCCTTTTTGCCGTATAACCGACTGGCTTTAGCAGTCGTTGGCCATGTGCTTTACTGCTTTTCCGTTTGTTTGTATATTCAACCGTAGGTGTAACTTGCTTCATCATTGGATTTTTCCTTCTTTTCTTTGTGCTTTGCTTAAGCTTCACTCGCACATCAATTTTTTTGTCGAAATTCGTTTATATTCTAAAATAAGTTATTTAGACCGTCATTAAACTTTTATAATATTTTTATTTTAATCATAATATTTAAAATTTATATTATAATCATTAAATTTTCAATACACTTTTGTTACAATTATTTTCCTTACCTACAGTTAATAATATGATACGTATTATGGCACCGGTGAGGATTGAGAATCTCGGGATTATAATTTCTGAAACCATTTCGCTGACTTGTACCCTCATCTCCGTGCTTGTATCAATATCCGGTGCTGGGTGACAAGTTGAGCATCTCTCAGACATGGATTTGTCTACTAGTCGAGCTCATTGAGTTTTAAATCCAGTATTCCGCTAAGGAAAACCCTCTCCCATAAGCTCAAAGTCGCTTGTCCTCTAGGTGCCATACGTAAGAGTAACCCGTAACCCCGCTACAGTCGAGGATCATCCTCGAAAGCTGGGGATAATGGGTTAAACAACGCAGGCCGAATGCATTCATCAATTGCCTTCGATCTTTATTCTTTCCTTTTTCAGTGATAGTGGTGTAACTCACCTGCAACGATCTGTAGGGACAGCCTATGGAAGCCAAAAGAGATGGATAATAAACTGTTATCAGTCAGTTCAGCTGAGTTCTTGGTGGTCTAAGATTGCAGCCCTTGACATAGGGTGACACCATCTAGCCGAGAAATTAAAACATCACATATTCCATGAATGTGTCCAAGTTTCAATGATTTAAGTGGCCAAGTTTCCCTACAAAATGGCAAACATCGAGAACCAACTCTTCAAGTAGTGGCAATCGAATAAAGACATATAGTGTAGCATGGCTGATACAGTGATACCTGCGTCTTCATATGTGTAACCTTCGCGATTCAGGTCGAGTCTGACATTGGACTCAGAAATAGTATTAAAAAGGTGAAGGAGACAAAGGTGAGGACAATTTGAAGCAATAGCAAGCAAGGTTTGATCGTCAACATATCCAATGAATCAAGGGTTGAAGTTTACGTCGGTTCAGGCAGGAAGAGGTGATGGCTACATGTTATAGGCTGAATCCTTCTGTTGAAGAATGTTTTAGGATATTCGGATGGGAAAGTGAAGCTGCAATTGGTGTAGTTGGAAAATGTACGAGCTTTAATTTGTTTTCATAGTCCCTTTCCTTTGTATTTGCTTTCACCTTCCCCCTCCGTCATCTCTTCAACTCTCTCTCTCTCTCTCTCTTTAAAATTTCAGAAAGTCAACAAGACCGCCGTGCATGGCCGCCAATCACCATTGTCAAAAAGCTTCTTCACTCTTACATTCCCCCCCTCTTTTTAGTACTTAAATCTTGTACTAAATAAAACCTAATGCATGCATTACTGTAGCAATCAAGTCATTGATCACTGGTAGCAATCAAGTCATTGATCACTGGTAGCAATCAAGTCATTGATCACTGGTAGCAATCAAGTCATTGATCACTGGTAGCAATCAAGTCATTGATCACTGGTAGCAATCATGAATGGTCTGACGGGGAAATAGGATTTGATTTCATTGTGCATAACCAGCCAAAAGGAAAAGGTGAAATAAGGATGGGTTTCTTGTAAGACCAACAAACCTTGTTCGACCCGAGGCGAAAACGTTTACTTTGACACTACCACCTCTAGAAGAGGAAGCCGGTATTGAGCAGCAATAAGTTTAAGGTAGGGAAAACACAAACTGTCTCAAGGTTTCACCCCTCCTGTCTAAAAACATTTAATAAAGATGAAATGCAGATATTCAATGTCTAACTATTGACTATGGTGTATTGTTTCCTACGGTGTGGGAGGAAATGTTGCGAAATGCTTCAAGATTATAGAGGCATAAGAATTCAATATCAGCACTCTTAACTCTCATACAGTCTACTAGCAAGCTTACGGTTTTGAACCGAGAAGAAAAGTACGGAAAGCAAAATAAAACTGTGAAAGGAAAAATGAAAATCGCCTTTGCTTTATTAGAACTGATATACAGAGGATTGATATCTGATATCCAATACAATTTACATTAGTCATTCATTGAGAACACGAAGCAGTTGTGCAAAGACATGTCATAGCCAAACCAAATTAAAATTAACTACAGCAACATCATGTCTCCATTACTCAGTGCCCTCCATTATATCATTCATCACTTTATATCTATTCAAAGGTGGAATGATTCCAATATGCATTCAGAATGTAACAATGAATTACACAAAAGCAAACATAAATAGAAGAAAAAGGGTATGAAGACTTCCCTTTTTAAGCTGTTCTTGGGTCCATCCCCTGCTGCCAGACGTAAACGAGCTCATCCCATCCAGTACTGGCCATAAGCCCATCAACAAGAACACTGAGATCGACCCCGACAGCAAACTCGGTATGATGATCATACCTTCCTACAAGTGCATCTTCCACCATAAAATCCCACAAACAGACAGTCATATCATACGAACAAGACACAAGTAAATTCCTCCTATGAGGCGAAAACTTAATTTTCCTAACAGCATAACCATGACCATTAAGAGCTGAAACCGGCACCCTATAGTTCCTTACATCCCAAATTTTAATACTCTTATCTACACTTGCAGTAGCAATTAAACATTCATCATATTTATTCCAATCACAAGACAATATTTCGTGTTCGTGACCCGGGATTATCATCGTCGAACCGGGTTCCCTAACATCCCAGATTCTTACCGTACAATCACCGGACGCTGAGGCGAAAACGTCTGCGTGTTTGGGGTTCCACGCGACGGAATACACGCAGTACGCGTGTTCCCGGAAAGTACGGAGCGAAGCGGGACGGTCGAGGGTCCACAGCTTGACGGAATCGTCCCACGAAGCGGAAAGGAACGAGTCGCGGCGCGTGGGGTTGTAATCGAGACCGTGGACTTCACGGGCGTGTTCCTTGAGCGACCGGACAGGGTTGGCTTGAGGAGGCAGGGCGGTGTCGTAGACTTTCATAGATCCGTCTGCCACGGCTGCGACGAGTACTGAGTCGTGGGATTCAGACCAGGCGACATCGTAGACTCCATCCGCGGTGTCGAAAGCGATGAGCTCGTTGATGACGGGGCTGGACGGGGAGAGGTCGATGACGTGGACACGGCCGTTACCTAATATGCCAAAGTTTTGGGCGGTGGCTACGGCTAAACGGGACTCGTAAAAAGGGGAGAACCTAACGGAGTAGCCGTTGAACGGGGTTTTGAAAACGGGCATCGCTGAATATCAGAATTTGGGGGATTGATCGACGATCAAAGGGAGGTATTTGGGTCTTTCAAAGATTCGGATAGAGGTGAGTGAAGGTTGCACAATTGCAGAACTATAGTAAACTCCCTGAGCCTCATGAAGATTCACTTTTAGCCAGAAAATGGACCCGAACCAGAGGGGTAAAATCAAATGGGCTAGATCTTGTAAATTGGAAAGGCTAATTTGATGCCCAATTATTGGGAAATTATATATATTCAATGCTACCATTCCTAATTGGATAGATGAAGGTTGGGCAGGGTCGTAAATGAACTCAAATGAATATAATCATAAACTTTATTTTTAAAGGTGTTTATATTTGGTTTGTACTTATTTAGATTTTTAATATTATCTTCTTGTTTTTATTTTTATTTTAAAGGTATATATGTTCGCTTTGTTTGAGGTTTGAGAACATGTTCGTTTAATGTTCACTAACATATTTGATTATATGTTTGTCAACATGTTCGTTTGGTGTTCATCAACATATTCATTTAACGGTTGAAATAAAAGGAGGAATGGTGAAATAATGACACTAGTCTTTAAGCTCCTTAGGCTTTACAGTTTGAACTCTAAAGCTAACATTATGTTCAATTTAGTCAATAGCTTCACTAATATTTAAAATGTAAAAAATAAAAGGAATATGAGAACCGAATAAACGAGCTTATAAGCGAGTCAATAAATGAGCTTGTTCGTGAACATAAAAAAACCAAACATGCCTATGTTCGTGTTCGTTTGTTTATAAAACAAACATAAACAATTTTTGTCCATACTTGTTTGTTTAACTTAATAAATGAACATAAATAAACGTTATACGAACAATTCATTAATAGTTCATTGAACGTTCAATTCATTTATACCCCTAAGTTTGGGGTTATTATTCAGTTTTATGAAATACAATATTATTTAGAATAAGTTTGAGTAAATTGGAAAGCCTAATTTGATGCCCAATTATTGAGAAATTGTAAATATTCAAAGCTACCATTCCTAATTGGAAGATTGAGTTTGGGTAAGGGCGTAAATGAACTGAACTTAAATGAATATGATTGTGTTTATATTCATTCATTTATTTTTAAAGGTATTTATATTTGTTTCTTGTTCGTTTAATTTCTAATATAATGTTTGCGTTGTTTATTTATTTTTGAAGGTATTTATATTCGGTTCGTTTGACGTTAAAGAACATGTTCGATTAACTTTAACTAACATGTTTGATTATATGTTTATCAACATGTTCATTTAGTTTCCACCAACATGTTCATTTAGTTTTCACCAACATGTTCGTTTAGCGCTGAAATAAAAGGGGGAAATGATGAAATTATGACACTAGTCTTTAAGCTCCTTAGGGTTTATAGTTTGAACTCCAAAGTTAACATTGTGTTCATTTTAGTCCATTCCTTCTCCAATATTTAAAATGTAAAAAAGAAAATTAGAACCAAATAAACGAGCTTATAAAAAGTCAATAAATGAGTTTGCTTGTGACCATAAACAAACCAAACACATTTTTATTCATGTTCGTTCGTTTATTAAGTAAACATAAAAAATTTGTTCATACTTATTTGTTTAGTTTAATAAACAAACATAAATGAACAATATATGAATAATTTCTTGATAATTCATTTAACGTTCAATTCCTTTATACCCTTAAGTTTGAGTGATTTTGATATTTAATCATTTAGAGTTGTTATTCAGTTTTACGAAATACTATAAGATTATAATCCTAAATCTTAACCTATAATCCTAAACACTAAAGCTTATAACCCTAAAGTTTAAATGACACACAATAAATTAAAATCTGATAGTGAAATATTTTATTATTATTAATGTTTGAAATAATATTCGTATAAATTAATCATTGCAATTCACAATCTGACTAAAAGCTAAAAGATATTCAAATATAAACATAAATATATTTAGACAATAACCACACTTGAAACTTCAATTAAAATAAATTAGAACTTAACTCGCATATGATATTTATACCATTTTAACTTGTTATATTTCGAATTTTTTCTACTTTTACAATGTTAATAATAGATCTAAATTAATAATATCTTTAATTATTACTATTAATTTAAACATTGATTTGATGTATAAATTTATTATAATTTTAACATGGAATTGATGTGTCTTATGTGAACTACTTTATTCAATAACATGATGTACAATGTTTAGACATGGAGTATTATACTAGGGTGAGCAAAATTTAATTCAACTCAAAAAATAAAATGGTTGGTTGTCCCTTTTTCCCATATATATGGGGTAAGGGGGAGGTAAGATCAAAGTGAAGGAAACCCTAAACACACCGTTGGCCGCATCAAAAAAATCAGTGGCTCACCCTAAACACGTCCTCAAGAAACCTTCATCTCCTTCCAGTGATGGGACGGTCCCGAAAATCGTACTTGTTCCACCGGAAACCGAGCTCCGACGCGGGAAGATTTATTTCCTCCTCCGCTCCAAATCCGGTTCTAGAACAACGACCAAGAAGAAAAGATACAGCCGAAGCATGAACAGCAACAACACGAATTCGATGGCGAACGTTTTGGTATCGGATCGGTATTTAGGTGAGATGCTCTCGGAGAAGTTGTCGACGCCACGGGATGGAAGAAGGGGTCGAGTTGGGGTGTGGAGGCCACACTTAGAGAGCATCTCAGAGACACCAAATTGATGGTTGTTGTTGATCATCATCAAGAAAGCTGCTGTATGTTACTAGTAGCACGAATAACAAAACTGGGATTTACAATTTTCTTCATATTTTGATATGATTCATGGAGAAAAATAAGTACGTCCATCCATTAGGGTTCCAGGAAGAGCTTCCTGGTGGGTTTTTTTTACTTTCTTTTAAGTTTCTATTTGCCATATTTGTTAATTTCCATTCATGTGTGTTTAGTGCATATAAGGCATAGAAGTTAAATAATATTGGAATGTGATTCTAAGATCCAAATCAGGATGCTCCAATGTTCTGGCCGAGATCTTACCTAGAGCCTCAGAGAAGCAAAGGGATAAGTTCAATTGTTCGAAGGCGAAGTCCAAAGTGGATGTCAAGCAAAGCTAGGGATGTAGGGTTCAACCAAAGAAAATTAATTGAGGCGGTTGTTACCCAAAAATTTTAAATTATCATATAATTTAGATTTTATTGTATTTTTATTGATAATATATTTTTATTTCTTAAAATTTTATAAATTCATCCCTTAACATAAAAATGTTTTGAGGGAAAATGAAGAGTTGAAAAATATACTTACTACGTGCTCTAATATAATCATATTTTTGTATAGTCTAGGATGATTCGAATGTAATATTTGTTTAAAAAAAATTTAGTCATTTATAACATATACACCCTATAAATACAGCTACTCGAATTCGAAACCTCTAAAAAAAACTACTTTATTCTACCATTGAAGTCGATGAGTGTTCCATTATCATATTTTTGACAAATACAACAACGTGATGCAACTCATAGAGATAGGAGTGGCTTACCCCTATCGCGACAACTACGATTTGTGGTATGAAATGAAAGTGCTTGGAACTTTCCAAGCTCCGGAATTATGCTCTTTCTAAGCGTCGACGTAAAATTTTCACGTATTGTTGTTTGCTGACTTTGACATTGCCAACACGCGACCGCAATTCTTGTGGGTTTGTGTGTACGGCTTATTCTTCTTTATCACACATGAAAAAATATGGTGCATGCACTCGCCGTGGAAAGAGTTGCTGTGATTAGAGGCGTAATTATGATGAAATAATGGGAGAGTAGAGTTGTTTGTTTTTGAAATTAATTAAGTTTTAAAATATAATTAAATTATAAAAAAATGAACTAAGGGCGTAAGGGCTCTCGTCGAAGAGGCCCAACAGTGGCCTGAACCGCAGCGATAACGCGTGAGGGGAAAAACCCAAAAAGCTGCTCCATGAAGCTCAACGCCATTCTCAAGTTGTTGAATAATTAGCCGCGCCATTCTACCGCCCGATCAAACTAGATAAATTGGAAACAAAAATTAAAGGAAAATAAACAAAACTAGTGATAGAAACGATGGTTGGAATCTAACGGCGCCCATAAGCTAAGACGAGCCGGCCAATACCAAAGTTAAATAGTCCGTACGGCTCACGTAATGCATCAATCGGCAGCCGGCATCCGGCATCATCACTGCCGTTCATCAGTATCATTCCCAGACACCGACGCATCTCGCTTCTAAATTAAATTTTTTTGGTTAATTTGTTAGTATATATCAATTTCATATTCGATCATTTTATCAAAACTTTTAAAAAATATGATTATAAATAATTCATACGATTTTACTCCATAAATTTAAAATCATTATTCCCGGGAAAACGATCATCTGGCAGTTTCTCGGGGTTAATTTAGAATTTGGTACTTATATTATATCATTTATTCCAATTTGATGCCTACTTTTCTTATAAGTTTGGAAAATATATGAATTTTGTTATATTCTTTCCGAAACTCCTCTGAAAACTTGATCTTAAATTTGCACATCAACATTCTTAGAAATTCTATTTGCAGTAAAAACCATGTAATAACATCTCTAAATACAAGAACTCTAGCATTTACATTTATCGAAAAATCACGATCCATTAGCGTGACTCATTGTAAGTTTCACTTGATGTCATAATTGACCAACAGCTGGTCACATCAATTGGTGCTACTTATCCTAATGACCTACAAACAACTATCATGCCTCTATACCTGATACTAATACTAACAAAGAATCTCAATACTAACTAACGATAATTTGACTATTAACTTTGATCGATACTAAGAGGAGGGTTGGTTAACATCTGCTATCAATCAACGATCGTTTGATCACCAACTACGACTCTCTCCTAAAATCAGAAAGGTGAACTATTTATAGCCTTCATGATTTATTTGTCTCATTAACAAATTTAAATTTTAAAACATTATATTATGGAGTCATATTAGATACAAATAAACATCCTCGTATATTCATTATCCAACTCTTTTATAATACGGATATGGATTTAAAAATTCGAATCTAGATTAATATTACAAAATAGAGAATATTTGTACTTCTAAGAGAATTTGAACTTTCTATGTCCATTTTTCTTTAGATTTAGTTTTAAATAAATTCAAATATTTGAAATACAATCTCAAATTTATTTTTTTATGAATTTAAATATCTAACTAATATTTGTCAAAAGAATCTAACGAATAATAATATTTAATTTAGAGAGTAAAATAAATTGAGTATAGCTTCTAATAAAAAATTGAGTAGCAACATAGAAAATAAAATAAAATATAGGCACTAAAGTTGTCAATTAAGCCGTTTTCCGATACGTTAGGCAGGCCAGCACCAACGAAAAGCTAACGTCAGAAAAATGCCAGCCAGTGAGCCTGACCTCACGCGCTCTCTCTCACACATCCCGGCGACCGACCTTTTCCCTATTATTCCCTTTCCCTACTCTCACGCTCCTCTCATGTGTCGGCCGACTCATCGCCGAACCCTTTTTAAATCGACCACCCTAAATTCTTCCCCTTCTCATAAACAACCAATCACCCTTCTCTCGTCGTTTCAATGGCCGACATCTCCGATTCCGTTACGCCGTTGGCAATAATCACCCCTCCTTCTACCACTCCCGGCTCACGGACGTTACCCGTCCGTGAAGATTGTTGGTCGGAGGAAGCTACGTCTACCCTCATCGACGCTTGGGGTCGCCGTTACGTCGAGCTTAACCGTGGGAACCTCCGTCAGAAGGATTGGCAGGATGTCGCCGACGCCGTTAATGTGCTTCACGGTCATACTAAGAAGACCAATCGTACTGATGTTCAGTGTAAGAACCGGATTGATACCATTAAGAAGAAGTATAAGATCGAGAAGACTACGGTCGCCGCTTCTAACGGAACCCTAACGTCGTCGTGGCCGTTCTTTGAACGATTGGATGCTCTTATCGGATCTAATTTTACAGCTAAAAAGGTTTCGCTGTCGCCTAAGATATCACCGAAGCCGTCGCCGAGGATCCCCGGGTCTCCTCCCGTGGCTCTTCCTCTTCCGTTGCCGTACAAGAGGACACCGGCGCCGGCCACGGTTGTCGCACTTCCGCAGAAGAGGCCGGCTGTCGATGATGGGTATTTCAAGAGATATTATTTGGCCGTTGCTGCAGCAGCAGCAGCAGCGGCTGATGTAGAGAGTGACGAGGAAGAGGGAGAAGAAAGCGAGGGAGAGGAAAGTGAAGGTGAAGGAGAGGAGAGGGAAGGGATGAAGAGATTGGCCAGAGCTATAGAAAGATTTGGTCAAGTTTATGAAAGAGTGGAAGGGGAGAAGCTGAGGCAGATGGTGGAATTGGAGAAGCAAAGAATGCAATTTGCTAAAGATTTGGAAGTGCAGAGGATGAGGATGTTTATGGATACACAGGTGCAGCTCGAGAAGATAAAGCGTGGCAAACGATCCTCGGGTTCCAGTGGTGAGGCCTATTCTTCCTCATGAAAGAAGCTATGTTTAGCTTTTTATATTGTTGTATTTGCTATTTGATTGATTAAGATGTACATTTTAGTGTAATGGGTTCATTCATCTTATGCTTTGTAGCTGTTTTTGGATTTTAAAATCTTTTTTTTCTTGCTTAGTTCTTTCAGTGTGTTTTTGAGCATTAGATAGAATGAAATGACAAGGGTTTTAACTTACTGGGTTTTGTTTAGCGATTGAGGAAGTTGGTGGGACTATCCACTTTATGTTTGGTCTATCTTATTGTTAAGATTCTAGCATGAGAACTTAAACATGTTAAAAGCTGCAATTGTTAATATAGGGAACAAACCATTTCCCTCAGTTTGTTGTGTGCTATGTTTGCTTTGTTCAATAGGACCTTAAACGGAACTGTTCAGTGGGTGGTGTTTAAATCAGTATTGATAATACAAAGGGGTAATATTCATTCATGCAGTGATATTCATCTGTTTGTGGTATATTTTTTAAATAAACACTGACAATGAATTCTTCAATGATGCTATTCTTCTCCAAAGGGAGTCTGACCTTGATGTCCATTTTTATATGCTTTGTGGAATGCCTTCAGTATTTTCTGTTCAAAGGTTTCTTCAAAGCATATATGTCTATTGTGTGTTTGACGTTGAACTTTGCATGAATACCTGGTCTCCCTTCATTTATTCTGTAGAAGAGGCATTACTCAAATGTTGCATACTAGCAATGGTTGATGTTTAATTTCAGCTTGAAGAAGATAATATGCAAGGCCATTAAGTTTTAAGTTTTTAGTGTTTCCTTTGATGTGCGAAGCGGGAACTGACTGACTTGACAGAAGTGAGACAGTTTGCTTTTCTTGTTACCGATATAGCTGGGAAAAAAGAATGAAGGCTGGTTTTTGCAAGTAACTTTGCTATCCTTGACTGATTTGTAGGAGGTTGAATCAGTTTGATAATTTGCCAATCTGTGCCACTCTAAACCTGTAGTCATTTCAGAATGTTACTTGTTCTGTTGGTTTATAGGGTGTTTTATTTGATTAAATGCATGATTATGATTGGCTTTAGTCTCTGAAAGTACATCTATTTGGAGTGTCCTGGAGTGTGTGCAGGCTTACTACTTAGTTGATAGATATGATATGCATGTAAAGTAAGGGTGGGGTGTGGCCTAACGTAGCCTTTGCTTGCTGATTGGTCAGGTTCAGGCTTATGTACAAATAAACTTTTATCTGTCCGTCTAAATTATTTCCTCGGTGTATCAGCAGAAAATGGATGTTTCTCCATTGCTGGTCAGCTAACAGAGGTTGGCTGTTTTAGCAACAGTACCATGTGCCTAGAAGCATATTGATGCCCACCAAAGATTCAAGACCTAAATATGCTTCAGCATTTAAATTGCTCTTGATATCTGCGATGCACATGGTATGGCATAAATGATTTGTCTATAAGTTTTCTGTAAGGTTAAAAATGTTGGCATTTCCTGGTTTAGAAAAATGTTAATAACTACCAAGTTTGATCTTTGCCTTTTGCAATATGAGTTTGTCTTTTGAATGTGGTTCACGATGAATGGTTCTGAGGCCAAATTTGTCAGGATCCTTTCAAGCTTGTTACGGTCTGTCTGGTGTGTGTTTTCCCCAAAAATTCTTCCCAAGTCTGATATCCAAAACTCTGTTTAGCATAATAGTTGTTGTACACATCTATGTAATACACAGGAATGGTGGGTTGAATGGTTAATCGTTCAAACACTTATAGTATTCCGCAGGTTTTGTTGTGTGATATTTCTGTGGCAAAGAAACGCTGAATGTTCCACTCAACCAGAAGGGTTGAATTTTGATTTGATGTATTCATCCACGGAATATTTAAGGAGATGAATTGCATCTGTAGCAACTTTCGACTATTGTTGTATGCATTACCCTCCTGACGGTTTTTGTATTGTTAAACATGACTTGTATAAATAAGCTAAACAAGGCCCATTTTTCTTTGTTGCAGATCTTTATAGCTAGCCAGTCCGGGGAAGAATTTTGACAGTTATTTCCATGGGAAAAAGATATGAAGAATATAATATTTGACATTTATACTCATCCCTTGAAAGTATATATAGCTATTTGTTGCAGATACTGGACTCAGAACTCGGAGAAGATAACCAGCAGTTGGCAGATATGATTCGTTGTCTGGAGTTTGAAAGTTCTTTTCTTTCGCCGTTTGCCTTTTCCCAGCCACCAAAAATTAAAATAAAAAAAAAAGAAAAAAGAAAAGAAACTGAAGTTGTAATTTAGTTTGGATCTGCTCATTTGGTCCAATGTCATTTGTTTTAGTTATCGAGTCTCATGCAAATCTCTGTGTTTGCTGCAATGTACAAGATTAAACATGCTTGATTCCACCGTTGTTTTTACAGGGTATTCTTAGCCGTGACGTGAGAGGTCCTCCCTACTGTAAAACAAACTCTGCTTAGTTTCCATGGCTCATGCCTTTTAATTAAAAAAAAAAGTCTTTCTTCTATTTCTATTGGATTGGGCTAAAATCCTCATCTTTTGTGTTGCATGATTAAACATGCTTGAATTCACGTCTTGTTATTAACAATAAATTAACAAAACTAAGTTTCAACTGACAGTTCATGTAATGAATAAATATTTAACTCTTATTATTATTATAATAAAATGGCATCACCAGGGCATTAATTAGCTCAGCAACAACGGAAAAAGAGAGAGGGGAAAACGTCAAAAAAATGCCAACTAGACTAGTCGTTGCCGCGCTTAATCCGATGAATGACCCAACCAAGCCACCTGAGTCGGCCGAGTCATCGCCGAAGCGCTTTTTAATCCTTTAACCCGAAATTCCTCCCTTCTAATCAAAACCCGACCCCCACTTGTTTATCTTTTCCATGGCCGATATCACCTATTCCGTTACGCCCTTAGCTATAATCACCCCTCCGTCAACCACTCCCGGCGCACGGACATTACCCGTCCGTGAAGATTGTTGGTAGGAGGAAGCTACGTCTACCCTCATCGACGCTTGGGATCGCCGTTACGTCGAGCTTAACCGTGGGAACCTCCGTCAGAAGGACTGGCAGGATGTTGCCGACGCCGTTAATTCTCTTCATGGTCATACTAAGAAGACTCATCGCACTGATGTTCAGTGTAAGAACCGGATCGATACTATTAAGAAGAAGTATAAGATCAAGAAGACACGGGTTGCGGCTTCTAATGGAACCTTAACGTCGTCGTGGCCATTCTTTGAACGATTGGATGCTCTTATCGGACCTGAGTTTTCAGCTAACAAGGTTTTGCCGTCGCCGAAGATATCACCAAAACCATCGCCGAATTTGTCACCAAGTATCCCCGGGTCTCCTCCTGTGGCTCTTCCGCTTCTGTTGCCCTACAGGACGACTCCGGCGCCGGTTACGGTTGTCTCTCTTCCACAGAAGAGACCGGCTGTCGACGATGGGTATTTCAAGTTTATGAAATAATAGAACGGGAGAAGATGAGGCAGATGGTGGAATTGGAGAAGCAAAGAATGCAATTTGCCAAAGATTTGGAAGTGCAGAGGAAGAGGCTGTTTATGGATACGCAGGTGCAGCTTGAGAAGATCAAGCGTGGCAAACGATCCTCGGGTTCCAGTGGTGAGGCCTATTCTTCCTCGTAGAAGTAACTTTCTTTAGCTTAATATATTGTTGTATTCGTTATTTGATTGATTAAAATGTATATTTTCATGTAATGGGTATGCTTTGTAGCTATTGTTGGATTTTCAAAACCTTTTCTTTTCATTGTTGGTTGTTTCAGTGTGTTTTGTGTGTTTGACGTAGAACCTTGCATGAATTCCTGGTTTCCACTCATGTTTTCTGTTCAAGATGCATAACTCAAAACTTGCATACTAGCAATGGTTGAGGTTTGATTTCAGTTTGAAGATAATGTGGCAGGGTGTTAAGTTTTATGTTTTGTTTTTCCTTTGATGTGGGAAATGTCAGACTTGACGGAAGTGAGACAATTTGCTTATCTTGTTACTGATATAGCTGCGAAAAAGAATGAAGACCGGTTTTATCAAAAAGGAAACTTGTCTCTTATATCTGCCTAAATTTTCTATCCTAGACTGATTAGATAGGAGGTTAACTCTGTTTGATAATTTTCCACTTTGTGCCCCTCTAAACCTTTAGTCATTTCGGAATGTTGATTGTTCTGTTGGTTTATCAGGTGTTCCACTTTGTTAAATGCATGATTAGGATGACCTTAGTCTCTGAAAGTATGTCTATTTGGAATGCCTGGAGTGTGCAGGCTTACTACTTAGTTGATATGTGTGTGTGTGTGTATAATAAAGTAAGGGTGGGGTGTGGCTTCATGTAACTTGCAGACTGGTCCGGTTCAGGTTTATGTTCATATGAACTTTTACGATCTGTCTGTCTAAACTATTTTCTCGGCTTGTCTGCCGAAAATTGATATTTCTCCATTGCTGGTTAGCTAACAGATGTTGGCTGTTTTACCTACAGTACCGTGTGCCTAGATTCTAGAACCATATTGATACCCATGAAAGAGATCAAGAGCTAATATGCTTCAGCATTTAAAAAGTCTGTTTACCATAATGGTTGTTCTATGCATCCATGTAATAGTCAGGGATGATGGCATTGATGGGTTGAATGCTTAATCGCTCAAACTCTTATCTTCTTGCTCAAGTTTTGTGGTGCGATAGTTCTGTGGGAAAACATGCACATTGTTCCATTTCAGGTTGAATCTTGATTTGATGCATCGGTTTAAGGAAATGTGGTCGCATTTGTATATATAAGCTACTTTTGATTATTGTTGTATGCATTATCCCCCTCCCCCCGACAGTTTTGCATTGTTAAACATGAATTTAGACATGGGGTTGATCTCTAAACAAGGTCCGTTTTTTCTTTGTTGCAGATATATACAAGTAACCAATCTGGGGTGGAGTTTTGACAGTTACTTCCATGGGAGGACACATGAACATGACATTTATACTCAGCTCTTGAAAGTTGAGCGCTATTCTATCGGGTACCGGACACGGAACTCGGAGATGATAACCGGCAGTTGGCGGATAAGATTCATTTCCTGGAGTTTTAAAGTTCCTTCCTTTTGCCTTTTGCCTTTTGCTTTTTCCCTTCATTTGGGGAGCACCAAAAGAAAACCTTAAGTTGTTTAATTTTGGATCTGCACATTTGGTCCGATGCCATTTGTTTTAGTTGTTGTCTCTTTTCATCTTTTAGATTTAATTGCAAGTCTTTGCATCTGCTGCAACCTACAAGATTAGGTAAAGTACAAAAACGAATAGACATTGTTATTTTTTATTATTATAAAACATTATTAATTTTACGAATATGTGTACTTAATTAAAATATAAAATATTCTATTAAAATAAATTAAAATAAACAATCGTAATTTAAAATACGTCATTTGTTTTAAAGTGATATTATGATTGCCGGACCTATAAAAGGTTAACTTCCTTTGGGCCGATCAATACAAACATATCATAAGTTACATGAATGTATCATTCCATACATTTTACGTCTGGGTCACTTTAATGACTTATTGTCTTAATTAAGTCGTCTCAAGATAAATATTAATATTTCTATAACAATAAAATGTAAAGATTGAAATTTCTACTTACACTACGGTCTCTGAAATAACTCAAAAATAAAGTTACCTAAATGGTGCTATAAAAAATCAAAAACTCAACTCTTTAATTGTTTTAGAAGAATTACTTAAATATATATCTAATTCATAATTTCATAAATTACCAAAATTAAACAAAATTCAAAATAATCAATATTTAACTATTTCTCAACAATTTTTTAAGCATGCAACCAATAACCAATACAAGTATGCATTCACTCTATATACTAAATTAAATAAAGACATGATGTTGAGGAATTAAACCAATCACATATTATAACTTGATTCAAAACTAAACATATATATGTTTCAAAGGTTGATGTCACTGTTAATAGAAATTTCATAAAACCATACAATAACAAAACTACAATAGAAACTTTATTAAACCAGATTTATATCATAAATTTAGCCTTAAATTGATTATAATCAATCTCATAAATTGAAGTGGTATGTAATTATAAAATTTCCTTAAGACTGTGGTACAAGGCATGTAAATTCATGAGTAGAAACATACATTACATTCCAAAGACTGTGATATAAGTCAGCCAAAGTTATTTTAATGATGGAAACCAGCAAAGCTATCGAAACCATAATAATGATGAAACAAAACTAAACATGATAACCAATGCAAAAAGTATCCCAATGAAATAGGGCAAGCATATTAACGGAAATCAAAAACCCTAATACCACTAAATATCCGAATGATATACTCTAAATCAATTGATTTTTAATGATTCAATATGACGAGACTCTGATACCACTTGTTAGAACCAAAATATAATAAATATGAAAAATAATCAATATCTAATCATTTCAAATTATCAAAAATAAAATATTAGATGCAGAAGCGTATCTAAATTAATTGATATGTTGAAATATTTGGGTATTTTGTTTTGCAGGGACCACTACCTTTTTATAGAGAATGAATATTAGGTCAATCTATTAATTATTTATAATTTTGTCCCCTTTAAATTATAAATACAACTTTTGATATCTAAAGTTTAATTTTGTGACACTTTAATACTTATGTCACATGTAACATAATTAGTCAATTAATTTTGTGTCATATTTTATGATAATATTTAACATTATACATATGTACCCGCAAATATGGATTTTAATCCAACACGTTGGTGTTGGTGATTCTAAAGATGTTCAACTCTTTTTCTACTTTGTAAAGTCGGAGAGGAAACCCGTTGAGGACTCATCTGCTTTGGTTGACAGATGGTCCGGGCTGCTCCGTCTTCTCGCTTTTTTTTCGAAATCGGTAATTCACCCTAGGGAGTTCAAATTAGTAAATTCTTGTATTACCATATCCGTATTGTGCTCTGCATGGATTGCAGGTCCATTGAAATTCGAGGTCGTGGAGTACAATGGAAGCTTGCCTACATTGGTTCTAAACCCGTACTCATGGACAAAGGTGATCATCCCATGCCATTTAGTGCAGAACTAGATGTTGTGCTCTTTTAGACAATAATTATTTGTTTGCAGGCGTCAAACATCATATTGGTCGATTCACCAGTCGGCACCAGCTTCTCCTATTCGAGAAACAATCGTGATGTGCGAACAACTGACTTCAAACAAGTTTGTCACCTCCACCAATTTCTTCAAAAGGTCATTCTAAAACACTTTTCTTCGGTCATCCTAAAAATATACTTTTTATTCTCAGTCATCGAAGAGAAATTGCAATGGGGAGTATAAAACTATAGATCCAAATAACCAGCCGTGTCTGAAAGATATTCAATATTTTGATGAGAGCACGTCGAGAATCAACGTTCAACATATTCTGGAACCGGACTGTGGTCTCGATTCCCCTGTAGTCTAGAGAGACCGGTCGAAGGCGTTATCTCGACGAACACCACCAACAACTTCATGGTGAACTGCTTCCACCATTATTCTGTCCAGTAAATAACACGTTTTCCAAAAATACTCACTGTTTACAGGCTTTCCTGCACTCAAATGTGATCATCTTTGTTGAAATGTTCATTCCTGCAAACTTATGGGTACTACCTTTGAGCTTATTGGGCTAATGATGATGATGATGTCCAAAAGGCTCTTCACATTAGAGAGGTACGATGTTAAAACTTAGTTTAATTTCTATCTTCAAAACATCGAATTCGAGATTTAAATATTAATATGTATGACTATTTTTAAGCTGTAACGTTCTTTTATAAAATTGCAAGGAGAGAAGAAACATTCGTGACTTGATAATAATGCAAGGAGGCATAGGAAAGTGGCAGCGGTGCAATCATAAACTACTTTAAGACTACAAATACGATGTTCCAACCAGCTTTCCGTATCATGTAAACCTCAGTATGAGTGGCTTCGGCTCTCTAATATACATGTTAGGTATTTTATTTGATTACTACAAGTTTTGGTCCCTGTACTTGCACAAAATTATCAATTTGATATTTGTTTAATCTTTACTAGCCGTTTGATTTTTTTTAATATCACTCCATTATTACATTATTACAATATGTGTCATGTCATTGGGTCATATCAACTTTTTCGAATCAGAAAAATGCAATATGATAACATAATTATAATACAAGGGCCAAATTAATGAAAAAAAAACTTTGACTATAGTATATGAGTTAAAATAATTATTATGTTTATTTTTTTTTTCAAAATAATATTTGTTTCAGTTCAAGTATAGTTATCTTGTTGATTTTCAAGTAGTGGCGATCATGATATGACGGTGCCTAACATGACAACTCAAGATTGGATAGATATCTCAACTATCCAATTATTAATGATTGGCGACCATAGATGGTGCAAGGTCAAGTTGCAGGGTCATTGTGCCTTTTTATGTTTCTTTTCTTTATTTGTAATCTTTCAATGAACAATAAAGAAATATGTGTTGTTTGTTTGAATTTGTAGGGAGGAGGGCATACAGCTACTGAGTATAAGCCTCCAGATCGAGTGTTTTGCAATGTTTGATAGGTGGATATCTGGACAACCTTTGTGATAGAGAGAAAATCTCATCTACATGGTGTTGATGTTTTAGGCTTATAAACTCGTGTAGTAATTCTAGAATGAACTCTGCTTCGTAGACTTCTATCAATAAAATTATATATGATGTTTTAGTCTTATAAACTCGTGTAGTAATTTTAGAATGTGCTCTACTTCGTAGACTCTATCAATAAAACTATATATTATTTACATTATCTATCTTTAATTAGCATGTTTAATGTGTAATATGATATTTTGCCTTCCTCCCAATGAGATCAGGAGAAATGAGAAATCATAACAGGTATAGGAGGAAAGTTATGATAGATATTTTTTACGCGAAATGGAGAGATATGTATGGATAAATGGGGTCCAAGCCCTTGGTAAAATACTAGTGAAAATAGTGATGTTGTTTGGACTTCAACACTACGTTTGATTCGTTGTAATGTTTATGAGGGAATTGAAATCTGTCAGGAATTGCAGGAATTGGAATCTAATTCCATATTTTGTTTGGTTGGCAGGAAATGGAATTGGAATCTAATTTCATATTCTGTTTGGTTGCAAGACATGTCAGATGAATTTGATTTCAGTAATGTAAAATGACAGAATTACTTTTTTTTTTGCTTTATTTTAGTTTGTTTTACAACTTACATGTAGTAATATATTATAAAAAATTAAAAAAAATATTAAATTTTCATTTTATTGATTGATTATTCATTTCAATAAATTATAAAAATCATGCTAATAAACATCATAAGTTAAAATCATCGCAATCAAAATATGTTAATAAGTTACCAAAAGATAGAACAATATTTCGATACATTCCAATCGGAGTATGTTAATTAGTTACAAAAAAATATACCAAAAAATATTTTTATTCAATATATGAATTAGAAACCCGACACAACACAAAATAATAAAAAATTATTTTTATTCAATAAAAACATTGACTTAATTGAAAAAAATATATATAGAAGGGTATTATTGTAATTATTCCTAAATATATAAGGTAAAATTATATATTTTTCAGGTCGGTCCGGTTTCTTTCACCCTAAATCCAAACCCGACCCGAATATCACACTTAAAAACCCGACCCGACCTGAACAAAATAAAGTTTCACCCGACCCGACCCGAATATATGAATTAGAAATCCGACCCGAACCGAAATAATAAAAAAATATTTTTATTCAATAAAAACTGACTTAATTGAAAAAAATATATATAGAGAGAGGGGTATTATTGTAATTATTCTTAAATATATAAGGTAAAATTATATATATTTTCATGTCGGGTATTTTCACCCTAAACCCGAACTCGACCCGACACGAATATCACACTTAAAAAAACCGACCTAACCCGACCAAAATAAAGTTTCACCCTACCTGACCCGAAATAATAAAAAAAAATTATTCAATATACGAATAAGTTACCAAAAGATTGATGAGGGTAGTATGGTCAAATTTCAATTCCCTCCAACAAGATAATTGAATTCCATCCATTCTTGGATGGAATTCACTTTCCCTCATTTGATGGAAAGTTGAAGCCATGAGGGATTCCAATTCCCTTGGAAAACTTGAACCAAATATGGGAAAGTGGTGGAATTGGATTCCAATTCCCCCTAATTCCAAGGGATTCCATCCAACCAAACGCCACCTTATAGTATTGAAATCACATAATTTTGGTATTGAATTCAGACTAATTCATCGTATTAAAAATGTAAAACCATGTAATCGTTCAAATTTCAAGTCAGACCATGTCAAATCAGATATAAGTTATGTCAAGTTAATTTAATAGTTTGATTTAGATCATGTCGAGTCTTGTTCGACTCGAATTCGGATCATTTTCAGGTTGATTTGAAATCAGATTCAGTTCGGGTTGGGTTAATTTCAATTCAGATCAATATAATTTCATGTCAAAATAGTTCGGACCCGAATCAATTAAATATCATGTTAATTCAGGTTCAGATGAACGGATAAAATTCATGTCGAATCTTATTCGGTACAGACGAACTTCAGGTTAAGTCATTTTTAGATGAATTATTTTTCGCATTTCATGAACGACGAATTATAATTTGTAATTGTACAAGATTTAGAGTAAATTACAAAAAATAAAAATAATTATGGGCTAATTTAGGATTAAAATATACTTTTAAGGACTAAATTAGATAAACATGAAATTACAAACTTGTGAAGCTCAATGGTCAAGCGTCAAACGCATTTTTCGGTATCTCAAAGGAACTCTGGATTTTGGGCTTTGGCTAGCTCCTCAAGGTGAACAACTTCAATTAAGGTATTTGCTGATGCAGATTGGGGCAGCGATCCTGACGACTATCGCTCAATTTCAAGATATTGTGTATATTTGAGACAACATTTTTTGTCATGGAGCTCGCGAAAAAACATTCTGTTTCTCGATCCACAGTTGAGACAGAGTATCAAAGTTTAGCTGATGCTACGTCTGAGGTTATTTGAGTTAAAGCCGTCTTATCTAACATGGGAGTAGACTTGTCTCAAGCACCAATTGTCTGGTGTGATAACACCAGCATTGTCGCCATGGAAGTCAACCCTGTTCTACATGCAAAAGTCAATTACATGTTCATTTTTGTTGGTGAAAAAGTGATGAGTTAGCTGTTGACAGTTAACTATGTTCCAGCTCAGCTTCAAATTGCAGAGCTAATTAGACCTCTTGTTTCCTCCAGACTTCAGGAACTACGACAGCGGCTAAGTGTGGTTTCGTTGCAGCAGCTTCAGGCTAACAGGAGTTAGAAATCAGAAAAAAGAAGTTAGAAAGCGGGGTGAATGTTAAGAATTGTGCTGATGATGCATGCTGTTTTGGGTGTTGCATGTTGTTATGTGCTAACAAATTCAGTTAGATTCTTTTTGTATGTTTTCTGTTTCAGCCTATTTAATCCACGTTGGGTCAAACTACAGGTGTTGATCCACTTGATTAAATTGGGGGCCGTATAAAAAGAGCACTTAATTGTGAAGGCTGAATATCTTTAGCCTCCATGCTTTTCTTATTTTACTTTCCTTGCGTTCATATCACTAAAGGTTGTTTGGTTACCGTGTATATAACTGGTTAAACAAACCAAATAAGGTAATATAACATTATCATAGCAATGTTACATTCTAGTAATCTTATTCTCAAAGTTAATCTTGTATTCCGTAAATCAAACGTCCCTGGAAGGTTGTTTGGTTACCGTGTATACAGGCGGCTTTTGAAACTGTTGTTTGATTTACGTGTCATCAATCAATAATGTATTCCTACCACATGGATAATACGTGTTTGAGGAAAAGAAACAATTTTCATAAATTTTATTGACATTATATTTCTTTTTAGATGTTATATCTAACATGTCCATGCAGTAGGTAAAAACGTATTTGTAATTTCATCTATGTGTTTTAATTATACTCCATTTTAGATCTAAATTGACATTTAGTACTTAAAATGAATGATAAAGTAATGAAATGAATGGATTGATATTATATTGGAACTTTGAGAATTCAATTAGAATGTTGCTAAGTTGAGGGACTAATTTAGAATTGTGGGATAGTTCATGGACTTTAGGTGGAATTATCCCAAGTGTGCTTGATTACTTAGAAAGCCTTCTCCACTGGGATTGTGCATGTCATATACTGCATCATTTTTTGCAGTTGGAAGGTCAACTCTCGCTTGCTACCTTCAACAACTCATCTATTCGTGTCAGTTGACATAATCATATTATAATCAGTTGACACATAGCTTCGTCAGATATTATTTTTTTTCAGATAAACCCTAATGTATAAAATAATTCAGTTGACAAATGTAGATGTCCTTTTGTAGTAATTAATCATTTTCAATGTTTTTTTTATAATAATCAACCAAGTCAAATGCTCATTGTAGAAGGATAAGGCCACCTTACTAGGTGAAGTCATTAGACAAATGAAACAACTGAAGCAGAATGCAACTGAATCCAGCCAAGGGTTTCTTGTTCCAATGGATGATGATGAGGTCAGAGTTGATGCATGTGATGATGAAGCCAATGGGACTTATTGTTTCAAGGCATCGATCTGATGTGATTATAACCCGAACTCCTGACAGATCTACGACAAGCTCTCGACGCCCTTCAGTTAAAGATGGGGTAGGCAGAAATATCGACATTGGGGAGTCGGCTGAGGATCCATTTTGGTTTTATTGGCTGCCGAATTGTGCATGCCGATGGCTCTGAGGCACGGGAATATATTGCACGTTCTATACGTCAGGCCATGGATTCTGTCAAGGAGAAGGCTTCTATCTCGCCAGAATACTTGCCGGCGTTTCCGAAGTAGAGGCGAAGGATCTCTTACTTCGATTCCTCAAGCTCGTTTTCGTAGAAAAACATGATTGCCCTCGTTTCGTTTGCGTCAATCCACTGTGACATGTCTTTTATTTTCTGCAGGTGTTTGTTTGTGTGTGCAAATATTGGTTTGAAACACGGACTTAAGAAACATGTTATATATACATACATGTAGATAGATCATTATAGATCTAAGAGAACAATCTTATCTGATCATGTGAATGTTGGCTGTAAATTTGTCTGAATGTATCCCTTTTCATTACATGTCGTCCTTTTTGACGTTGCCCCACCGGATGTTCTCGAGCTGCTAGAGTGAGACGCTTCTGGCCACTCATATTTGAGAGATTGATGTAATCTTCTAAGTCTCTTTTCAATTCAAAAAAAAAAAAAAACCTGCATTAATTTTTAGCACAATGTTATCTGCCTACAGTTAGGACTTGGGAAACACTAGAGCGTATTGTTGTTAATTTTGTATAAGCTATGATCATGAAAATAAAACTTATATTATTAGGCATAAGAGCATCAGTGGTCTAGTGGTAGAATAGTACCCTACCACGGTACAGGCTTGGGTTTTATTTTCGGTTGGTGCATTATTTTTAAATTTGTCCTTCACAATTCTTTGATCTCATCGTCCACTACCCATGAATTCATAACCTCAAACAACTCTTAATTCACATCATCAAAGACAGAAGAATGGCACCGAACATTTTCCCCACATTATCAATTTCCTCTTCATGTGAGTGTCGAATGTTTTTTCCCCTTTGAACCCCAAATCTTATTTTATTATTATGATCTCAGCCTGTTTTGGTAGATATGATCTATTCTAGGTTTGATCTATGAATCACAAGCATTGCTAGAAATATGATGTTGTTGTGTCTGTATATGTAGAGCTTCACTGATATCTGTATATGGTTCTTGAATCTCGCAGTTCGTGTTGAATTCTATCTGGAAAGTGAACCAAAACATTGTTTTTATCTGTTTAATGGAAGATAAATCTAAGGGTGTGGCTTGGGTCGGTAACATGTATCAGTAATTCGAAGCTATGTGCATGGAGGTTGATGACATTGCGTGCCAGGTAGCGGTTACATTCATCTTTTTGCCATTGAAATCATGGCAGTTCTGCTCCAAAAATGTTGAATCTAATTAAATTTTAGTGGTATTCTGGTCAGGAAACATTGAGATATGCTGAAAGTCAGTTGCAGGCAGTTGGTTCTAAAGTAAAGCAGTTCTGCATTGAACTAATTGAAGAGTTGTCTCCTACCGGACCGCCTCCTACAGATCCGGTAGAAGACCTTAACTCAAATCAGGTACAAAATGCCGGTGTTGCAGCATATGAGGACTCGTAAGTGTCGATGAAGATCGCTCTCCACTCTCAGACGAGCCCATTGATTCCTCTTCTGTGAAATCTGTTATGGTGTAGATTTCGGTTTATTTTCTGAACAAACTACAGAGGAGAAACATTACTTGGTTCATTCTTCTATTTTTAAGGCTGAAAGGACTAAATTATATTTTATTGTTTAAAAGGGATTAAAACTACAATTTGACCGTTTAACGAAGAGGGTTCAAAGCCCCTAGCTATACCCTATTCCTTAGGATTTTAAATTGACAATATGAGCATTTTTCTAATAAAAAATACTATATAATCCAATTTAACACATCTTTTGATAATGTTATCAATTGAATTATTTAATCAAAAGACTAGAAATGAGTCAATGACTAAATTCCTAGAATTAAAAAGTAAAGAGAGTAAATTTAAATTGCACGAAGCATGAAGGGGCTGAGAACGTAATTAGTATTAGAATTGTAATGGAGAGGTATCAGATGTAATTTTCTGTAATTGTAAGTATCAATGGTAAACTTTCTTGCAAAACATATGTTGATTTGTAGACTCATAGATATAACAAAACATGCTTAAATGACTTCATGCATGTGATGGACGGGCGGTTGTTTTCAAAATAGCTTAAAATTACAAGGACTTGAAAATCTTAAAAAATGAATACATATTACCAAGTTTTTTAACTTGGAATTCACATTGTCACGGATTTTTGACCCATTGCCGACAAGTATCACTGGGGGTGGGGGAGAGAGAGACTCCTGTGATGTGCTGTGCCTTCTAAGGTTCTTCACACGAGAGACGTACTGACTATTCTCAACCAAAAGAAGGTCTCTCTGCGTTGTAATCTGCACATTTGTCGTTGAATGAAGCTTAGCTAGCTCGGTGACAAATGCTCAACTGCCAAGGTGGTGGGCCTTCTGCTTGCGGTGATGGCTGGGAAAGACTGATCTGTTTTTGACGTAACAACTTGAATTCCCTGGTTGGTTTTTGGAATCCCATGTGCTTCCCCAATTATTGGGTAAATGTCGTGAATATCATCACGGGTTACATAAATTAGTTATATTTTACTCCATTCTTCAATTATACTATCAATTTCTTCACTCATGAACATCAAGACAAAGGCCAAACCATGTGCAATTTTATATCATTAACATACATCTCATGACATGCAGGAGGATACTGTAATGCAGAAGAAGATGGCGTCTACCTCATTCCATGTGAACCCACCAGCAGCCTTTTCCCCTCTCTCATCCCCTTGTATATAAGCTCTGGCTTTGCAGTTTACTGAGCTTGTTTTTAGGAAACAAATTCCTTGATGGGTTTCAGTTGCAAGACATTGTTGTGTTTGTGCTCGTGTTTTTGCAAGAGGCAAGTGCCGGGAGATATTACCACAATGTGACCGGGTTAAGTAGTAGGAAGCACGTGGGTGGATGCAATTTGTTTCAAGTCCAATGGGTGTTTGATCCTACATATCCTTTCTACGACTCTTTTGGGTGTCCCTTTATAGATGCTGAATTCGATTACCTTAAATATGGCAGACCAGATAAACAGTACCTTAATAAGTACTCCTGGAAACCTGATGGGTGTAGCTTGCCCAGGTACCCCTTTTTCCCTCTTTGTTTTCTTTTTTAAATTTAGACTCTTTGGTTGAGAAAGATTGATGTGTATATTTTGTTTTTGTTGTTAGATTTGATGGGGCGAGTTTTCTGGCAAAATGGAGGGGAAAGAAGATAATGTTTGTGGGTGACTCACTGAGTTTGGACATGTACATGTAATCGGTGCCTAACTCCAAGACCACATTTGTTAGGAAGACCCCTTTGTCTTTCATTTTCTTTGAGGTGAGTTATTGTCTTTTTAAAAAAAAATAATAACTCAAATTATTCCCTGTATTCTCTTTGATTATCCTTAAAGTTAAAGTATAGTTTCAAGCCAGGATTAGCATTTAACAATACAATAATTAGTGCATGTATTGTTTCTAGGATTACGACTATCAAGCACAACTAGATAAATTAACCGATTCAATTATTTTCACACCATGCATGGGGTGACTGTGCATTTGCACCGAACTGTCCGAACACCGTACTTGGTGGATATTGTTAGGGAAAGTGTTGGTGATGTGCTTGATCTAGGCTCCATCAATGGTGGCAATGCATGGGAAGGAATGGACGTGTTGATTTTCAACAGCTGGCATTGGTGGACCCACCAGGGAGAATCTCAAGGATGCCATTTTCATCTTATTCGATTTATTTATATACCATCAATGCATCAAATTCGAGTAATCTATTTAGAAATATCATGTTTGGTTAATGTAGATGGGATTACATTAGAGATGGGTCTGCATTATACAAAGATATGGACCGTTTATAGGCTTTCAGCAAGGGGCTTACAACATGGAGCAACTGGGTTGACAGCACTGCTGATCCTGCCAAGACCAAGGTCTTCTTCCAGGGCATTTCCCCCACCCTGGTCTAATTTGTACTGATTGTGTTTGATCAAACCAGGGACAGGGAGTGGAACCAACCGAAAAAGAAATGTTATAGAGAGCTAGAGCCACTGTCCGGTCCTACATACCCGGCAGGGGCACCTCCAGCTGCTGCAATTGTGAACAAGGTGTTGGGGATGAAAAAACCGGTTTTCTAGCTCGATATTATGAAGCTATCGCAGTTGAGAAAAGACGCTCATCCATCGGCCTATAGCGGCAACCATTCGGGCAACGACTGCAGCCACTGGTGCCTCCCTGGCTTGCCTGATACATGGAACCAGCTTCTGTATGCAGCACTGGTAATGTGCAAGTCCCCATTGGGCAAAACAAAGAATTTACGTCTCTTTTTTTCTTCTTCATACAAAATCAAATTGTACAATCATACAAACAGTTGGGTTTAGGCGGAGCAGTAATTTTCAGGCAGCATTACAGTTATGTCCTGGAATTAATGAATTGAATCTTGGTGGATAACAATAGCAGCTGGTGTTGTATTCACAAACATTTGATGTCTCGATCTTTACAACACAAAATGGTGGATACTTTCTGAACTCTGAAGCAGAGTTTGTTTACAGAGATCTTTGTTGGTTTTGGCATTGTACGTTGCATGATCTAGCTTTGTCTCGAAGTTCCTGGAATGCCCTCATCGTTTCGACATCGAATCCGCCAGCAAACTGTCGATAAACCGGAAAGAAAATGGGTTACCTTCGCTATGCCGAATTAGGGTCATGTCCAGCTTGTGTAAATTAAATGAGAATGGTTACCTGATGTACACGGAACGCAAATCTAACGCCTTGAACAATCAGCTCCTCTTCTTCAGGCCCACCCCCTACTGCTTCCAGCTCCGAAGATACCCGTTTCATGTACTTCATCGCTAGTTTTACCGAAGCCAACTTGATCTGCCATAATTTGTATGCAGGACATCTCATTTTCACCGATCGACATAACAATTAATCAGCGTAAAATTGTATACAAGACATGAAGGTTAGAAGCTTAAAACTAACCTGGCTTACAATTCCGTTTTCGAGCATCCAATCCATAGGAATATGAAACCCTTTGTATCGGTTTGCAGCAGATTCTCTCATTCGGGAGAGATTGTAAACACCGTGCTCTAGCCTGCCATTGTTACATGCAGATTCATAACGGAATGAGAACGCATACGAAAGGAATTTATATATTGATTAACCAAGTATTTTATACGTACTTTTCAAGCAGAGCCTGCATCTTCTTGAGAGCCGGACCACAAGGTTGCCGGGCACAATCACTAAATGATGCAGCCTCGGATTCTAGTTTCTTGAGATCACAATACCCAAACGCAGCCTCGCGCAATGCATCAGCCTTCTGCTCCGGCCAGTCGAAATGTTTCAGCACAGCTCTTTCGTCCACCTAAATGAAGAACAAAAACTAATCAGCGAAACGGTAAAAAACCCTCGATAAAATCGATAGGATGGAAAGAAGAAAGGAAAACTTACCAAGTAGGAGAGTTCATCGTCTAGCCATTTAACAAAAGGCACAACATCCTCAATATCTGTAAATGCTGCGTTCTCAACTTCCTTAATCAAAAACCTTATGAAGTCCCCTTGTGTTTCTACATCTGTCTTTATCTGTACATTGGTCACAAAATATATCCATTGTCACCATAATTGAAAAGATATCAAATAAAATTAGAGTCACAAACTCTTACATTTATAGAGCTAAACATTTTTAATTTAAGACATCAGATCCAACAAAAACAATAAAAGTCATGGACGACCAGTCACTGGTCACTGACACAAAAAAACAGTGTGACCACAATGGCATTGTCGTAACAAACTACAGAACCGGGAACCGAACTCACCGCGAGTAAATGAGACGACCGATTTTCAATCTCTCCAATCATGTCCCGGGCATTGGCGGTTGCAGGCAAAAGCTCATGCGCGCTACAGCCACCGACTTCTCTTTTCGAGTCTCTCCGCATAAGCGAGTGATAGAACTCCACAACCTCCGGAATTCTCCTCACCTTCGCCGAGACAGCTTTTTTCCCTTTCGGAGGCGGCGGGGGAGGTGGCGGCGCAACGGCTTTCACAGGTGGAGGTGTCGGGGGAGGAGGAGGTACAGCTGCAGGTGCAAGTTGTTTGACTGTTGCCACTGGTGCAGGAGGTGGTGGTGGAGGAGGAATTTGCTTCTCTGTTGAATCAGGGGAGCTGTTAGATGAAGTTGATGACGATGATGAAGGTCTCGGCGGTGGTTTCGGGATCCTAGGAACACGATATCTGATATTAACAAGAGTCGACTCGACGAGTTCATCTGAGTTACTCTGTCTCTCAGTTTCAAGCTCCTCCCTTTTTTCATTACTCGAAGCACTGAAAACAACGACGGTGTCCCAGCATTTACTATTACTTCTCTTCAAATTCCTCAAACTCTCACCTTTACCGTTACACTCAGAACGCAGAAACGGCACCGTTTTCTTCAACTCCGTTATCTCTTCCTCCATTTCCCTCACTTTCCTCTCCCTCTCTTTCCTCTCTTCTTCAACCTTCCCCTTCATTTCCTCCACCTCCATTTTCAAAGCCTCATTTTCATCCCTCAAAGTTCCCATCTCCTTCAAAGCTCGATCCAGCTCCGCATTCTTAACCGCAATATCGTTCTCCAGAACAGGAACAATGGAAACCGATTCTTTCAAAAGCTTGCACTCCAAAAGCTCAGTTTTGAGCCTGGACTCTCGGTCTCTCAACTCTTCGACTACCCGAAGGAGCTCGGCGACATCAGGTGGACGGGGCTGGACTTTAGTCGAGGATCGAGGAAAGTAAACGCCAAAAGAACGTGAAAAAACCGTTTTCTGGGAAGAATTGGAGTTGTTAGCCGAGTTTGTTGAAGATGACAACGGAGGCTTAGAGGGAGTTTCATGCTTTGAGTTTGCTGGTGATTTCTGCAAACCCATTGCTAACCTTACCTTACCAGCTACCATGATAAGGTGTTTTTTGCTTTCCCTTACTCTTATCTCTCTGGGTTTTGGATTTTAAGACGTTCTATCCTTTAATTTGTGATCTGGAAGGGGAGAGGGAAACAAAAAATGGTTCTTTGTCTGTTTGGGTTTGTTGGGTTTCTCAGACAGTGAGGTCTCACGACTTGGTTTGTGAAAAAAATATAGTTAATGCAAATCGGAGAAACAGAAAAGGAAAATGGAACGTTGAAAAAAGGAATTCAAAACTATAGTGTTAAGATAGAGGAGAGTAGGTCAAATTAATAATAAAAAATGTGAACATTTTAAATAAATAGTGATACAATTATCGAGGAACGGTCTTCTATGCTCCGATCCACTTTTTAAAACTAAAAAGAAAATCGTTTTTTAAAGAAAAACTGGGCCTAAATGTAACATCCACCGCATTTTTTAATTTGTGTAAATTATAAATCAATTTATTTTTGTCATTAAAATTTATAAATTTTTAATTTATTTTTATTTTCATCATTTGGATTGGGTGTCAAATCATAAATGGAAGGTTGATATAGTAACTCACATGTGTGATGTGTTGATATGGACTGGATTTTTTACATTAGAAAATAAATTATTTAAACGGGTCAGATTTGAGTAAGCCCTAATCCGGGCCTATGAAAAATTTTAAAACCATTACGCGACCCAAGTCATAAAGTATTCTTATCATTTTCTAGTTTTAGTTAAGTGTCAACGTTAACTAACCAAAACGGCAATTGAGTCCTCTAAGCAATAACGTGGTTTATTCCTAATGATGTGACTAAAACCATCAACCAAACAAAGATTTCCATACCCAAAAACACCTACGCGACTCTTCTTTTCGCTATACCGTAATGATTGCTGATATACGACAATCGGAGTTGGGCCACGAAAATTATAGGACGTATTTCATAATTGTCCCGTGTTTGTGTTCGCTTACCTACTGTATATTAATTTAATACATTTACTAATATTAAATGAATATATTTATAAATATATTTTCGGACACGTGGATACTTATCGGATGATACAAGTTGCCACGTGTTGGGAAACATAGAGGATATCAGCCACATTCTTAGGGACTGGTATACTGCTTAGTCAATTTGAAATAGGGGTTCAATCGGTCTGTTCGATTAATCGATCATATTGAATTTATAAATTTTAACAGAAATTTATAAATAATATATATTAAATATTTTATATTTTTGATTAATTTGATTGGTTAATTTGATTAAAACTGAAGTTTAAACACTCTTAAAGTTCAGTAATATTTAAATCATATATAATATATTAAAAATTTAAAATTTTCGATTAATTCGATTAACCGACCGATTTCGAATCGAATTAATCGATAATCGAAATTTGAAAAATTCATTAACCGTTAATCAACCAAACCTAAAATTGACCAACTGATTAACCAAAAAAGATTTCGATTCGATGATTAAATCGGTTTCAACCGAAGTTTGAACACCACTAATTTGGACGACATAGAGTATATGTTCTTATATAGTACTTGAAACGAAACCTTAGGTGGCGTTTGGTTCGCTGGAATTTTTATGAGGGAATTGGAATCTGTGAAAGAATTAGAATCTGTCAGGAATTGGAATCCAATTCTATATTCTGTTTGGTTGGCAGGAAATGAAATTGGAATCCAATTTCCATATTTTGTTTGGTTCGCAGACAAGTCAGATGAATTTGATTTCAGTAATGTAAAATGATATAATTGTCCTTCTTGTTTTTTTTTTGCTTTATTTTAGTTTATTTTACAACTTACATGTAGTAATATATTATAAAAAAAAAAAGATTAAATTTTCATTTTATTGATTGATTATTCATTTCAATAAATTATAAAAATCATGCTAATAAATATCATAAGTTAAAATCATCGCAATCAAAATATGTTAATAAATTACCAAAAGATAGAGCAATATTTTGATACATTCCAATCGGAGTATGTTAATTAGTTACCAAGAATATACCAAAAACTATTTTTATTCAATATATGAATTAGAAAACCGACCCGACACGATACAAAATAATAATAATATTATTTTTATTCAATAAAAACATTGACTTAATTGAAAAAATTATATATAGAGGAGTATTATTGTAATTATTCCTAAATATATAAGGTAAAATTATATATTTTTTTTCGGGTCGGTCCTGTTTTTTTTCACCCTAAACACGAACCCGACCTGAATATCACACTTAAAAAAACTCGACCCGACTCGACCCGAATATCACACTTAAAAAACCCGACCCGAACAAAATAAAGTTTCACCCAACCCGACCCGAATATATGAAATAGAAATCCGACCCGACCTGAAATAATAAAAAATTATTTTTATTCAATAAAAGCATTGACTTAATTGAAAAAAATATATATAGAGAGGGGTATTATTGTAATTATTCCTAAATATATAAAGTAAAATTATATATATTTTCGGGTCGGGATTTTTCACCCTAAACCCGAACTCGACCCGACCCGAATATCACACTTAAAAAACCGACCCGACCCGAAATAATAAAAAAAATATTTTTATTCAATATATGAATAAGTTACCAAAAGATTGACGAGGGTAGTATGGTCAAATTTTAATTCCTTCATTTTATGGAAAGTTGAAGTAATGAGGGATTCCAATTCCCTTGGAAAACTTGAACTAAACATGGGAAAGTGGTGGAATTGGATTCCAATTTCCCCAAATTCTAAAAGATTCCATTCAACCAAACGCTACCTTGTGAAAGTTGATCATTTGGATGTTAATTTTTTTTTTGGCTTGGTAATGTTTACATTAAGATTAAAATTTATAACCGGTCAAACCAGGATCAAATACATAATGAAATAATCACACAAAAATTGAATAACACTAAACATGCCTAAAATTATGGATCAATCCGTAACAAATCCTCAGCACCATAAAACAATCAAATAAGCGACACCATGAGAAATCATCACCTTCTATTTTCGACCATCACACAACTACATAACGAATACAATCTCTCTATAGAACATAAAATCAAAACGTACGTTAAACCCCAGCTTTAATCAAAGCGACCAAAAAATTATGATCTTCACGAACAAAATGAGCAGCGAACCATAATCGAAACCAATGAATTTTTAGAGGAATAACCAATCTCCATGCACTAAATCACGAATCCTAAAGAAACTTGGATGTTGTGCGACTTCTTCAAAGGAGAGACCCCTCTCTCGATCTTACAACATGTTCATGTCTTACATGATAAAGAGATTATCATTGTCATGTCTTTGAAGATGGTAATAAACTAGCTGATGGTATAGCTAAATTAGATTGGTCCCGAAGTTTTGGTTTGCATGTTTTTCATGGTCCACATGATATCAATCTTACATGATGATTGTAACTTCATAGCCTACTTACAAATCCAGTAAGACCAACCCAGTCCATTGTTAGATTTGGTTGAATCCATAAAATCACTCACAAGTGCACGTCTTAATATGATTTATAGATTTACTTTACCTACACATATACCATATATGGAAGTTGCCTATAAAACTAAAAGGAACATAGTTTTGGATAGGGTATCCTTAAATTCAAAGGCTTCTCGAACTTTTGGCTCCAAACAAGAGAGAGAGAGAGACTTCACCAAAACTGAAAACCTCAGAAAAGTATCAATCTGATTAAATCCCAACATTTGCCTTCTTCCTTTTCCAAGCATCTCTTAGTTTCCCGCCAAGTATATTTTTTCTCTATCTAATGCTAACTTCAAAGCAAAGTCTTACTTCTAAAGACAAAAACAAAATCAAGCTTGTAGGAAATGCTTCTCTTTATGTCTGACTCTTAGTATCCAAAAGCTTAAAAGGTCCCTATCAAGTCTCAAGTTGAGATTAGGGATTGATCGAAAGGGATGATGGAACGATCATTTTTATAAAAAAAAAATTAATTTTCATATAATTTAATAAATTTTATAAATTTACTCCGTACTATAAAATTTTATATATGATCTTAATTGAAAATCTGGTTCCTTGAGGAATACCCTTCAAAGCCAAGAATTTTAGCTTCAAGGATTTGACATCATACTTAATAATTCAGAAATTCATCTCTGTAAAGATATAAAAGTACAAATACGTGGTCTTAATTACATGGTTCTCGATTAAGTCAAACGAACTGCAAATTCACAAAGCAAAAGAAGCTTATGAAATTGATTTTGACAGATAAATTTATATTATAGTAGGGTAGATAATGTTGAATTTTCAAGCTGTCACCTAAAACATCGCAATCCAAATTCCCGTTGTAATTAATTGCACGATACTTGCACAGTGGAAAGGCTAGTTTAACGTCGGTGCAAGCCAAGTTTATGGGGAGCTATATAATCGATGAACAAGCACATTATGCGTCACCGAAAGACATGGAAACACGACGCAGTCTCAGGAGATGGTTCGGTAAGAAAAAGAAGGTAATGCGTAGCAGCATAGCAAAAAAATGGAAGGATCTAAGCGGCCAAAACAATTGGGGACAGCTTTTGGATCCATTGGATATCGATCTCCGTCGTTATGCTATTCACTACGGTGAAATGGCTCAGGCTGCCTACGATGCCTTCAACACCGAGAAGGCGTCCAAATATACCGGGAGCAGCTTGTATGGCAAGAGAAATTTCTTCTCCTGTGTGGGTTTGGAGAAAGGCAATACTTACAGGTACCAGGTTACTAAGTTTTTGTACGCGACGTCGCATATCCAGGTGCCGGAAGCGTTCCTAGTGAAGCCGGTGTCGAGGGAAGCTTGGAGCAAGGAGTCGAACTGGATCGGGTTTGTGGCGGTGGCGACGGATGATGGGGAAAGCTGTTTTGGGGAGGAGGGATATCGTGATTGCTTGGAGAGGAACGGTGCAAACACTGGAATGGATCAATGATTTCGAGTTTAATTTGGTTTCGCCGAGGAAAATCTTTGGTGATGAGCGTAGTGATGTTAAGGTGCATGAGGGGTGGTACTCCATTTACACCTCCGATGATTCACGTTCGCCCTATAACAAAAGCAGTGCCCGCGACCAGGTGAGATATCCTCTAATATTTACCAAACTATAATATTTCTAATTAATTGTTTATCAACAAAACGCATTGATTAATCCTTATGTGCTATATAATCAATTATTTTCAGGCTACTCATATGCTCGACGAATAAAAGAAGAATGAATGGTTTGCTAACGTCATTATTTTTTAATCATTGTATTATGTGAAAGTTTTCTGTTTCATCTTCTAATCTACAATGATTAGAGGGTTAAATTCACAATGAGGTCATTATAAATATATTAACTCGAGTAAAATTTAAAGGGTAACCTACAATGATACAAATATCATTATATCAATGTCTGTTGTATATCAAAATAAAAATTCTCTTTGTCCTTGTTCTGATTCATTAGGTTCTTAACGAGGTTAGGAGACTAGTAGACCAATTCAAGAACGAGGAAGTAAGCATCACAATAACCGGCCACAGTTTAGGTGCAGCCCTCGCTACTTTGAATGCGGTCGACATAGTAGTCAATGGATACAACAAGCCCCAAAGCCAGTCGAGCCGGTCCTTTCCCGTTACCTCCTTCTTGTTCGCCAGTCCTCGAGTTGGCGACTCGGTTTTCAAGAAGGCATTCACCGGATTCAAAGACCTCCGAGCCTTACGCGTAAAAAATGCCTTAGACGTCGTCCCCGACTATCCCCTAATAGGGTATTCGGACGTGGGTGAAGAATTGGCGATTGATACGCGTAAATCAAAGTACTTGAAGAGCCCTGGGAACTTGGCGAGTTGGCATAATTTGGAAGGTTATCTACATGGGGTGGCCGGGACACAAGGGAGCAAAGGAGGGTTTGACTTGGTGGTTGCTCGTGATATAGCCCTTGTGAACAAATCAATGGATGGATTGAAGGATGAGTACTTGGTGCCTGTAGCATGGAGAGTTCGGAAAAACAAAGGTATGGTGCAACAAGAAGATGGTTCTTGGAAATTAATGGATCGTGAAGGTCAAGATGATGATTATACTTAAATGGCTAGCCTTGGTTGAGCTTAATGACAATGGAGTTGAGAGGTTACTTGCGTCAATACAATGAAATTAATAATAAAAAACAAACATGGGTAATAATTATATGTATGAAAGCTAATTGATTGGTAGTTGAGGGTGGGAAAACTGTTGAATCGTCTAATTTGGTGGTGCGGCGTCGGTTTGTTGTTTTCTCTTTTTGATGAATTACACATACCATTATTTACTTGACTCTGAATTGGTCGTCCAACTCAGTTGGTAGAGTGCAAGGCTTTTAATCTTGTGGTGTGGGATCGAGTCTCACGATGGACAATTCATAATTTTGACTGCCGAAGGTCTTCCACAGAAGCTGCTCTCAACCTGACATTGGGGGCAGCCTACTACTTTACCTCCCCCTCACCCCCCTTACATATGAGAATAGGGTCAGCTAATTTTTATTATTTAGTTGACTCTCTTTTTCATAAATTTTATTATTGTAAATTTAATATAAAATTAAAATTTATTATTAACGTTCCATCTTATAATTATTTTAAATTTTATTTATTTTTTGAAATGTTTTTTTTCCTAATCAAAACGAATTCTTCTTTTTATATAAAAAATCATTAGGGTGTGTTTGTTTGGGGGAATGTGAGATTCACATGAGAATGAAATTCACATTCTCCCGTTTGGTTGGCCGGGAATGTCATTCTCGGTAATCTTACATTATCAATAATGGATTTTTTGGGATATATTACCGGGAATGTCATTACCTCCATTTCCTTAGGTATTGTTGGATTACCGGCGTTTTGGACTAAAATGCCCTTAAAAAAAATTCTTTCAAAAATATCATTATTCTCTCATTGAATAATAAAAATTCTACGAAGGTTAAATTATAAATTTATCCTTAAACTATTTTAGATTTACAAAAAAAGTCTATAATTAAAATTTTATATGAAGTTCAAGGGTTAAAATAAAATTTTAACCCTTTCATTAAACCTTTTTATATTTTCAATTTTGTAAATAAAAATTATAAATTTTTTATGAATTTAAATTTTTAAAGAAAATATATAAATATTTTTCAACTTGTTAAAAAACAAATATATAATAAGGACAATTTGGTCAAATATACATTCCAATAATCTTGTATTCCTTTAACCAAACACGGTAATCTTACATTCATGCTGAACGAACCAAACACAAAATACAACATTCCCAGTAATCCTATTATCTGGTAATCTTTTATTCCCAATAGTAATCTTACATTCCGTGAACCAAACGCACTCTTAAATAAACTCACATGAATTGAATCACTTAAATATTAACTAATATTTTTATATATAATTAATTGATGAAATGATATTTGATACATCCAATGATCGAAATTTCAAAAAATGATTATTCTAAATCTACTAGATGTATCCAACACCCCAAATCTAAATCTTAAAATATTTGGAAGAATGATTTTCTATTAAAACAGTCTAGTTGAGATAAGATAACTCTTACAAGTCAATGAATTATTTTATTAGAATTGGATCTAATAAAAATAAACATTCTGAACAAGAATTATGTATTCATGATCTTGAGGATGATGAAAAGATGATCAACCCTAAAAGAAAAGAAAGACTTATACAAACAAGACTAAACTTTGTAAAAAAAAATGTTGAAAAGAAAATAATTCATTAGGTTTATAAAAAAAATAAGAAAATTTATTAAACAAAATTTTGTAAAAGACTAGAACTTAGTGGTGAGAATAACTGGGAGGGTCTTTGATATCGATCTGCGCGACGATCTTATTCACTATTGTCAAAGGGTCGAGCCGCCGGTGATGGTTTCAACGGGACAAGGCATCAATTGGTTATGCCCTTAACCTATACTACGCTGATGAGTTTTATTGCTTGGATTGGTCTTGAAATTGGAAACCTATACCGTTATTAAGTCACCAACTTCTTATACGCCGCTGCCATCGGCATGGTAAAGTGGCATGTTTTAGATATGTGGTCGTGAGCAAAGATGATGGACAAACTGTTATGGAAGGAGGGATATTCTTGTTGCATGGAGAGGAATCATTGTTAGAACCAAAACTCTATTAATATAAAATTAACAACTCAATATCTATCGTGTCAAGTCATCAAGAATAATAAATTAAATGTGGAAGTGTATCTGAATTAATTAATATGATGAAATCTTTGAATCTTCTTTAGTTGTAATCTTCCAAAAAGATAAGTTTTCTCTTTCTGTAAAAGTTCTCTGACTCGATAAGAGTAATATAAGTTAAAATATTTGTTTCTTGGGATCACTACTGAATATTAGGTCAATCTATTAAGTAATTATAAATCCGCTCCTCAACAAATTACAGATAAAATTAAGATATCTATTGTAATACCCTTACCCGTATTTAATTCCAAAATACGAGTCAGAATGTCAAAAACTAATTTTCTAGCGTTCAAATTTAAACCATTTATTGATTTATGCATCAATTCATAATTTTTTAACCAAACTAGTTTCGTTTTCAAACAGTAACTTAACAAGTTCATAATTATAACATATAACAAATAAAATTGCATGTATTATACTTAAATTAAAATTTATCTTAATATCAGTTTAATTCTAATTCTTTTTACCGGATTGTTAACTTGCAGTCCATTTTTTATAACTATCATAATCTATATATTATTCATTAAACTACTATCAGGTAAACTATTACAAACTTGTTTTAAGCATAGTTTATACCAAAATACCATTTACACTTTATATACATGTCAACTAGAAAATAATATTTTTAACCATTTTCTAACATCCTTTAAATTTTTGTAAAATTTCGGTTAGATCCGATTATCCGATTTCAATACTGAGTTTTATCGCTTTATAGCTTTTAACACATCCCGTAGCGAAAATATGATTCCCAAGAAAATCGTTTTAAGTCCAACTGTTCATTTACGGGCTAAAATATATAATTTTTTAAAATTATATTTTTGGTCACTAAACTTTTACAATGTTTATACTTTAACCCCAAACTTTCAAAACTTACATTTTAGTCACTATCTAAACACCAAGGACCAAAAGGAAAGGGAAAAAAGAACATGAACCAATTAATGAAATAAAAACTATAGGAACAACATCCGGAAAGAAATGAGTATGTTTACGTGTTAACACAAATATAAATCGAACAACAATGATAATGCGTATATATAAATTTTGACTTCAATAATTTAATGAAGAAAAATAAAAAAAATGTATTTAAACACTTGTAAGAATTAATATCTAATTAATATAAAATTTATAGACATTGATTTAAGGCTATAAATTATCGATCACCTTAAAATGTTATTTGTTTAATCTATATGAGAAAGACTTTATTAAAATAATCAATAATTACGAATAGTTTTAATAAATATTATTTAAAATAACTAATTTCTTTATATTATTCTTATCACTTCTCTAAACAAGCGTTATGGTGATGGTGTGATATGAGGCACGATTGGCCCAGTAAAATTATGAACTCCTCCACTAAAAGAAATTGGTATTAAAGCTGCTAGAGAAACTGATGGACAATAGACAGACAATCAGTTAACCTACATTTCTTGGACTTCCTCTTATATATATATATATCACAAACAACAAGACATAATTTAATGTAAAGACCCAAAAGACAGTCGAATCAGATTTTAACTCAGTCTTTTAGGGTTTCATCTGAAAGCTGGTGAGTATTTAATATTACCCAGCTTTTTTCTTTATTAACAAATAGAAGGCGATTCAGAGTTGTTGATGAACTTCTCCTTTAATCAGTCTTTGGTTCTCTCTCAGTACTCCTCGCAAGAAGATCATTGTTTTTTTATCTCAAACATGAGGCCAAAGATCTATCTTTTTGGAGACTCGATCACGGAATTCTCCTTCGATGACGGTGGCTGGGGCGTTTCACTCGCCAATCATTTCTCTCGCAGGGTATATATATATATATGTATGTATGTATGTATATTGGTTCGATGATATTAATGATTTCTTATGTGGGTTTTTTTGATTACAGCTTGACGTGGTGCTCAGAGGATACAGTGGGTACAACACAAGGTGGGCGTTGAAGGTACTTGATAGGGTTTTTCCTACGGCCGAAAGCGGTGCCGCACCGCCACTCGCGGTGTCTGTGTTCTTCGGAGCTAACGATGCTTGCCTCCCAGATAGACGCGGTGCTTTTCAACATGTGCCACTTGATGAGTATAAGCAGAATCTGCACTCCATCGTCTCCTCTCTCAAGGTTACACAATCTCTTTTTTTCCTTCAGTAACACCACATTAAGCACGTTAAGGGTCAAAACTCAAAAGGCACTGCTTTTCAAGTAACTCTCACGTAGACGAAGAGACAAACAACTGCAAAGGGGTCGAACTGTATAGCTTTTTTGTTTCTGTCTATGCTGTCTTTTCATATGATTTTAATATTAGGATGATACTTTAGGTTATGGTCGGGCGTGGACTTTGGTTTCGGCTTGTCTGGTCAGCCATTTTGGTTGGGGATGTTGGCCTGTCAATATATAAAAGTTAATCAGGATTGAGAATAGCTCAATTTGATTTAACTCGTTTATTTAATTCGTAATTTTATAAATTTGATTTAAAAAATTCAAATAAAATTCAAATTATAAAATACTATTTAAATAAGTCAAAACTTTTAGTAAAAAGTATATTGATTTTCAAGTTCAAGTCGAATCTCTCATCATTATATATATCGGTTATAATTATAGAAAGTTATATAAATTAGAATCAATTAGTGTCATAAATTTATAAATATTTATAATTAAATTTAAACAGAAATTAGAATAGCTTGACTCGGTTTGAACTTCATAAATTCAACTTAATTTTGTTTTAAAATAAAGTTCTAATTATAAAATACGATTCATTAACTTGATAACTCAAATTCTTTTTACTCAATACTCATTCTTAAAGACAACAGATAGAGTCACATAAAGAGTGGGTTGGCAAGGCCGTTAAAATATGCCACTCGGCTTTATGAGTTTGATCTTTCTACTACATTAGTTAACATTTTCTTATGTTGATGTATATGCTGATCCTACTCATAGATTTTTCCTCTTTGATGACCTTCCCTTTCTGTTTTGGGGTCTCAGAAGCGGTGGCCAAAGGCTCTCATTCTTTTAATTACTCCTCCTCCGGTTGATGAAGATGCACGAATCAGGTATTTATATTGGTCCTTGCATTGTACATTACACATCGTCTTTAAAAGAAGATGAATTTCCTGCATTGATGCAGACATCCTTACGTTGAGAATCCGTCAGGTTTGTCCGAGAGGACAAACGAAGCTGTAGGCTGTTTTGCAAAGGCATGTGTTAAAACTGCTGGGGAATGTGGTATCCCTGTGGTGGATCTTTGGACCAGGATGCAGCAGTATCCTGACTGGCGGAAAGCTTATCTTAGGTATATCTAAAGGCGATAGATAGTTAGGGACGGACATGTGATTTTATGAGAGTAAAAATTTTAAGGAATGATCACAGATTGTCAATAGAAATACAATGAAAATACCTGAATTTTCGAAGCAGAATTGAAATATTCTGTTATTGACATACATGCTGTATGTGGAACTGCAGTGATGGTTTGCACCTGAGCCAAGAGGGCAACAAGGTTGTATTCGAGGAAGTGTTGAAGAAGCTGAATGAGGGAGGTTTAAGCCTTGAAAATCTAGAAGTTGATCTGCCACTTTTTTCTGATATTGACCCTGGTGACCCATTTAAGGCGTTTCAGCAGTAGTTCAAGACTCAAAATAGTTGATTGTCACTGAATATTTTACTATATATCTGCAGTAATTAAGATCTATTTCCAGTCTCAAGTGTTGTTTCTGCTATTATTGTAGCCTCAGATCATGATATATAAATAATGAATGACCAAATTATAGATGCATCTGCATCTGCTTTTGAATCTAATACAACACAAACTGAGTTTATATATAACCTGAGTGGCAAAACACCAATATATGGTCCCCCGGGGCTTGTTCTCTTAACCTGCTCAAACTGCTTTCTCTTTGCTTCTTTGCTTACTTACCGTCTCAAGGATTCGATCAGTTGGTTTCGGTTCCTCTTCTTCGACAAGGGCCGACTCTAGCTCCAAGCCTAGAGACAAAAGTATGACCAACGTAAAGCATACGAGACACCTAGAGATCGACATTGTAGTTGATGATGAATTTGTCATCCAGGTCTCTTGATGCCTTATCTTGTGCTCAGAATATCAATACAATACAACCTAAGATTTAAAGAGAATAATATAAACTTTTAGCATTTGTATGTGCTTTAGTTAGGGTTGTAAATTAATTGAGCTTGATCTAAAGAGATTACTAAGATTTGAAGAGTATCCATTTCTTTGAATCATCCTGCACTACCATAGACATCAAAAAAGGAAATTATGTAAACCAAAGATGATGCACACGAATTGTATTCAAACAATATGGATCAGATACAATATTATATCAGTACCAATAACCAGTTCTGATAGCAATTTTATTTGCATTTTGCCATGATGCCGATAACTACATATATATCTCTCACGAAAACAACTGCTGCTAATCTTGAAATCAGTGATGTCTCGGATCTGGACCACCAGGACTTCGGCGTTTCGACTCGTAGAGGTTTTCATTTCCGGATTCGTCTCTGATCCCTACATCGAACTGATACACCTTCCCTGAACTAGTGGCAAGGGACAACATTCGAAGAGACCTTGTAGGATTTACAACATCAATGTTCGGATTAAGAAGACGACTTTCGGGCTTTGAAACTGAGCACAATATCAGTATCAAACATGCAAGAAATCGCCTGCTACCCATCTTCTTTCAACTGTTTTAGATACTCAAAAGACTTATTTGGGGTCCAAGCTGTGAATATTCAGTGCATATATAGGCTCAAAAAGCATGGCATATCATCGTAAAAGTGTAGTTGATGTATACAATTTTCAGCATTGGATGATTTTGATTATTTTTTAGGTTGAACACGTACATTAACATCATAATTTTTTTTACAGTTATATGAGAAAATAAAGAAAATTTTAATCAATGAAATGAATAACATAAGAAAATTTAAATTTGAGAGTACACTTGAATATTCTAAATATAGGGTGGATCCGTCCCTGATTATTATAAGATATATTATTTGAATCCGAGGTAAACGAAGGACATGTTATGTATTTAACACGGAAATATTCGATACAAAAAAGTTTTTTAAGCACTTAAGAGAACTGACCAGCTGACTTGCATTCCTCAACTTCAACTTTTTTTTTCTTCTCGTTATCCACATTTGAGCATGGAAGAGTCGCGTCCTCTCGAGTTCTTCTAAAGGCGAAAGTGTAAAAAACAAAGACAACAACCGATTCTCTTAATCGTTTATTTTGTCTTTGTTAGACCAAATTATAATTCACCAAATGTTATTAAGGATACAATACACTGATGATTAATAAATTTTATTCAAATGATTGTTTTAATCTTTAGGTTTTTAAAAATTGTGCAACAATTATCAAATTTATCAAATCATTACAAAATGATCATTAAATTTTATTAAAATTTTACAAATGACTAATGTGTAATAGTTGAATGACTAATATGTAATAGTTCGATAAAGTTTAATGATCATTTTATAATAATTTAATAAATTTAATGTCTCTTTTATGCCTTTTAAAAGTTTGATGACTAAAACGATCATTTTAACTAAAGATGAATCAGACAGAGATATAAAACAATTGTACTCTTAAAATTTTAAATTATCATATATTTTAAAAAAAACTTTGTATTTTATATTAATTATCTATTTTCCCACTAAAACACTATAAATTCACTATTAACATAAAATCGTATATCTGTATCTGATCTCATACTTTTATTGCAACCTTGGAGCACATGTGAAATCCACTATCAAAGTGGCTATGCTTACGACACCACCTATTGTTTGTTTACATTCTTGAGTGCTTTACCTGTGTAGTCTGCCAAGAAAATGATGAATAAATTCATCAACTCATAGGTTGAAAACCAAATCATAGTGAAACTAAGCGTCAGCCGATGTTAATGTAGGCCAAGTTTGTTTGTTCCATTCGTCGAATGGACTTTATTTGTTCTAAATTCACTCTCATTTCCCCCACCCCCCTGAAAGGCATGAAAGTCTAAATGATAATGATAAGAAATATGCTAAATCACTAAACTGTTAACATGTGTCTTCTCGTTTTCCTTTGGCCATTTCCCTTTATTTCTATCACTCGTATGGACGAAAATATAGGCTTCGGTAAGAAATGTAAATTGATTTAGACCTCGTTATTTTGATCCAAATATCAAAACTCTCAGTTTAATTAATCCGAATTTAAGATTGATTTAATAATAAAAAATTAATAATCAAACAAAAATGGACTTGAATCTAAATTAATTCAATTTTAAAATAATATAAATTTACCAATAACCAATTGATTAAATGAAATAAGACACTAAAAGTCTTGGGTTTAAATCTTGACATTTTGAATGGAAAATATTTAATTGGGAGTCACTCCATTATAAGTCTTTATAATACTCGATTTGGATTAATCAATTACTAAATCGAAAACAAATGATTAAACAAAACAAAAATCTTAATCTAAAATAATTAAAATTTAAAAACTATTTAACTTACAATAATCCAACTCAAAAAATAATCGAAATTCCAAATTCAAATAACCTAAACCCAACGTTAGGGATAACAACGAGTCAGTTATTTGTAATTTTAACTTAAATAATGATCCAATGACGTGTATATGTACTCTAAGTCTGTATATGTAATATAAATTTGAATAATAAATATCTAATATGTATATACTCTAAATCTTTACAAAAGATAGTAATTTTAACTTCCAAATTTATAAATTATTATTTACAATATTCAGATTCAAAAAAACATAAAAAAATCAATTATTTGTAAATATTCAAATTTATGATTTAAATTATCATCTTTATTCAACATGATCCGGTCAAGATATATTTATCACGTCTAATTGAGAGATCTAACATATATCAAACCGACCGAATTTAATAAAGTCCAAAGCACCCATATACTAAAATTTCAGTGGGCCTAATTAACGCAATCAATTCAATCACTCGGCAGATTCGAAAGCATGAAAGAGTAGTATGTTACAAAAAGTCAGATTTCGATTTCGAGACAATAGCATATTTGTGTATGATGTATAATTTAGAGCCAAGCACTCATACAAGAAAATAAAAATGAACCCTCAATCAAGCAGATTGAGTAGTTGACGAATGAAACAACTAGTAAATATATAGATCTAATGTTTGAGCTATCGGAAGTTCCCACATTTGTACACCAAACTAGTCTTCTTGCAAATTGGCCCTACCTCATTTCCAGCTCTCCTCTTTCGACATTTGGGATGAGAAACCGAAGTTTGGGAAGAAACCGGGACTGTTGTATAGGATTGAATCTGAGTTGAACAGACTTGGGGGAGAATGAGATTGGTAATGTCTTGAAGTGGTTTCCTTAATCTTCTTTTTGGGGTGTTGGAGGATGAAGGTTTTGTGAGAATAAATGTAGGCTTGCTGGGGGAGAATGGAGGGATGTTCTCCTTGTTGTCATTTTCGCTAAAAGAAAGAAAACCCATTGATTTTTTATTGTTAAAGAGGAGGAGGAGAAGGAGGAGGATGGGAGTGAGTGGGGAGATGGTAGAGAAGAGGAGAGACATAAGTAATGGTGGATTTTGGAGGGGAGGAAGTGAAAGATTTTCAATTCAAACTTCAAAGCTGTTTAGGGAATTTTACATGTTTTCTAAGTTTTGGTTTCATGGAGGGAATTTTGGTGGGTTGAATTAGAAAATAATGGTTTAAGATTTTGGGAATATTTTTAAAATGGAGGGAAGGTTGGAGGAGGAATCATTCTCCATGCTTCTTTTTTGACATAAGGCTTGAAACTTTGAATAACGTCAAATTAAGCGATGGAGAAGGCGCGCATTTTTTTTTAATTTTAATGCTCTACAAATTTGGTCAGGACCGCACGAGGAGGGAAAAGTTAAAAATGATACTTTTACAACAGGACTGGACTGGACCCTACCATCTCTACTATTTCTCTTATTGGAGTTCGGCCCTTTTTAAATTGGACTTTAGCAGTGTTTACAGTTTTACGCAATTAAGTTTTAACATCTACAACGACATGAGATGGGGTTTGGGTTAAGAATATGCATAAGAATCATGTTTTTGATTTTATAAAATTTATTTTTTTAAATTGAGTTTGGGTCGAATCAAATCGGATCAAATTTGTGTTTATAATGAAACATACACGATCCGACCTGAGATAATAATAATGTAATTATCTTTTAGATTTTTAAAGATAATTACAATATACTATCTCACTCTATATTTTTTTCAGGTAGATCAGGTTTAGTACAAATTTTATCTAACAAAGAGGTTCGGGTGGGGTTGGTCGAAAACTCAACACAACGAAACCCATACGCATTCTTAATCGTGGCCAAAAAAGTCTTAATGCTTGCTAATAGATTAGGGTTCTTACAATCATACTTTTTTAAAGTATAACAATCAATCAAAAGATGAGATCATGGTTTATTAAAGTTCTAGATTAATCATTGTTCAGTACCAACAACTAATTGCATTGTAAAGATTTAGTTCAAGCACACAACTTCAACGAGTCAGAGGAACCAAGTAGATCTAAGCAATGAGATGAATCCAGAGTTTCTAACCATGTTCTGAACTGCGAAAAAAAAACTTTCAAGAGAAGAAAAACATGCATTCTGTTTCCAAGATTAGCATGGTGCTTGAATTTTTCAACTAAAACAAGGAAGAAGTTTAAGCTACCATGTGTCTCTCTATGTATGAGTTTGAGATGAGAGAGATACCTCATATGGGCATATAAGTGCCGTCCATGCCTGCGATCAAGTTGGCATTTCCTTGGAAACTAGTAGCTCAGCGAATTTCTGAGCCATATTAATGTTTTAATCGTGAAGGAATGTGCAACTCTAATTATAACAACAATTTAAGCAGAGAAATTCTTATGAATGTAAATAATACTAAGAATGGGAAAGGATATCTTCTCTTTATGGATGGGATGGTTAAGCATCAATAGATTGTTGTTGTTCACAACAGCCCGAACCATTAGTTCTTTGGCTTCCTCCTGTTTCTTTTTCAGCATGTTGCATATCTACAAAGAAAAACAGCCATTTGACAAGATAACTATCCTCTGGTGCATACTGCATAGTGATTCTCGTATCTTAACTGGACTATATATAATTTAATCCAGCTCGCATAAATATCACTGATTTTTTTTTCTTTTTTCTTTTCCTTTTGAAGTGAAATCCATTAGTAACATAATATGAACTTCTAAGAATCACACTTTATTTTGTGTTTTACTTACATCATCAAGCTCCTTTCCATAAGCTTCAGCCTTTTCCACGTTTCCATCATGTTCCATGACCGAAGAAAATTCCAGTTCTGTAATATTCACCTCCCGAGGAACTTCAGATCCGGAGGCCAAATGATCACAAAGAACATTCTCTTTTGTAACCTCCATGTGATTCTTGTGAGTTTGAACCTAGAATAACCATTTAATGTGATAAAAGTCAAGAGTTTACCAAATATTTGAATCCACAATTGACTTGCACAGGGATTTCCGCCCCTGTTCGTACAGAAATGTATGAGATTGGTTGAACCGATACCTCTTTATTAGCATCTCTTTCACAAGATTCGGTAAGATTCCTGCAGATCATATATATATATATATATATATATTAGAAATGTGTTATTCTAACAAAGAAGGCTGTAAATCGGTTATGATTGTGTGTACAGTTCAAAACCAACAAGACCTGCTTTCAGTTATTGATTGTGAAATCCTTTTGAGGGGTTTCAACAACATTGTGTCTCCAGTTGATTCCTATGGAACAGCTTTTAGAAAATATCAGTGATACATTATATTAAACTACGTGACCACAATACCATTTCAATGACATTAGGAAAAGCAAAGAGAACCTGAAATGTTTTCCGCTTCAAGGATGTAAGCTTTGGTATTTGTTTCTCGGAAACTGCAACAGGAAGGGTAATCTTCGATGTATTTCCTCGAGTATCCTTCTTTTGCTCTGAGTTTCTCAATGAATTGGTTTCCTTCGGAGAGCTCAGATGATCTATCTTTGATCCTACACTCCTACATTGAGAAGAGGCCAACCTTTATTGCAAAAAGTTAACAGAGAAACCCTCATGTAATGGACTTCAACATTGAGGTTGCTACATCAGCATCATACCATGTGCTTTTAAAGCTAGAGAGAGCAGGTGCTTTCTTGGTAATTTTATGTGCTTCATAATGGAACTTTGAGCTCTGAACGGAGTCTAGTTTTGGAACTTGAACTTTGGGATTCACAGATGTATGGACACTCGATTCAATTGTCTTCTCGGCATGGCTAGAAGAATTAGCGTTCAAACTGCAAGGAATCCACCCAGGCTTGCACGGCTTAGTCAACAATTTCTTAAAGGTTCCAGAGAAATACAAATATATTTAGTAATAGGAGATTCTAGCTAAAAAATCATCCTAAAGAGAAGAAAAATCCAATAACCAAATCAATGTTCATTTTACTTTTTGATAGAAAGGTATCCAAGATAATTTATGAATAAACAGAAACTACTAGCCAGGAAGGAAGAATCCAGGTGTAGATTCCTTTTGAGAACATCTTAACATTTCACTTAGACAATGATAAAAATTAGACCAAGAACCAGTTAAAATGCCAGCTATACCAATGCTTACTTTGCTTATTCAAAAATTTGCACGAGAAACTAATGTTTCTGGAGTTGAGAATGAATGAAAGATAGAAATACAAGCTTATAAATGGTAAACCCACGTAGCATTCTTTTCACTTCTTAAAAGAACAGGATCTCCTTTTCCTGCTGCTTTATCTTGCACAATTGATTTACCGGTTAATTTGTTGCCATCATTTTGTGTAACACCAGCAGCAAAACCAGCCCTGTTTAGGAGTGCATAGATAAGATAATATCATCTGAGAAGTGGATTTTTTTTTCATATTTATTGGCTCTAGGGTTTAAAAGTTTTAATGACATCTCCAAATGATTAAACAAATTTATCACATACTGTTATATAAGTCTATTACCGTAAATGCCTCACCTGATATCACTAGAACTTCCAATATTTTTTTCACTTTGAAGCAAAGCAGACCTCCCTTTTGTCAATTCTTGTGAACTTAATTTTGAAAAATCAACCGGTTTTCTTCCACTCTGTGCTTCACTAGCATCAAAATCCTCCCTGCTGAAGATGCAAAGAGTCTAAAAGCCTATCTATCTTGGAAGAACACTATTTAAATTTGTTAGAGGAAGCATGTCACACCTTTTCTCATATGTGGGGTTCAAATGCTTGTAACCAATTTTTTTCATGCTAACTGAGGAAACCACTTTTCCGGTTTCTGATGGCTGATGCAATTGCAATTTGTTTTCCTCTGGTCTTCTGAAATACCTTGAGTGAATAGCCCCAGTTTTTTTATCTTTTCTTGCAGAAAATTCAGTGGCTGTTGGTTCACTGCATTTAATATATCAAAGTTAGCTGCAGTTAGCATAAATAGCAAGCGTTTCTCAATCAATGTAATTTTAATCAGTTACGGTAGAATATGCAGTTATGTATATTTTTTCTTTTCAATCCTGCAACTACTAATATATGATTAAAATCATCATCAACGATACCTCCATTCGCATAGTTCATCTATAAAACCACAAATTAGAACACTTCAACAGTTAAACAAGGATGGCACATTATTAAAAGATTTTTTTGATTATCTGACCTGTCCAGTGAAACAGAAGGAAGTATGGGAGCTGGAGTCTGGAAATCATTCTTGGATGCAATATTGTCGAAATTTTCTGTTGGTAGGCTTGCAGTGTAACTTTCCTTTACAACTATTTCATCTTGCACTAATAGATTTTCATCTATTTCTGCTAGGATATTTCCACCTTCCCCTTTTCTTTCATCTCTATCACTCTCTGATAGCGGAAACGAGTTCTTCTGGTGCAAATTTTCATGAATGGACTCCTCATTAGTTATCACTTTGTCACTTACATTTTTATCTGAAGCTGAACTGATTTCTATTCTTCTTCCCTGAGAACAAACTTCTGCCTGCATGACGGAAATAGTTTCTGGGATTGAATTGTTCCCACTGCGAGAATCCATGAGTGAACTTTGTAAGGGCTGCTCATCATAGAGTTCAGATGCAACCTCCCTGTCTGGTGAAGGACATGATTTACTTGTTTCTTTGGCATTGGTATCCACTGATTTCTCTGGAGAAGTTATTGACCCTTGTGCTGTAACCAAATTTTCAGGATCAGGTCCCTGTGCAGGAACTTCTTTTAAGGGACAAGGTTTATCTATGGAATCACAAGCCTCGGCCTGACCCTTGGATGTCTCGGCCTTTGAATTTTCTGCATCCATTGATTCTGGGTATCTTGCAGTTATGCAATCATCCTCAAGTACCTCGTCAATTTTAGAAACATTAGCACTCTCAGAAGCAACTGCTTCGCTTTCCTGATTTTTCTTACAAGTCTTATATCCTTTATTTAGCGTTAAATCAAAATCAAAATCATCCAACCTGAAACATATCCGAGGTACAGACTAAGAAATAAACAATGAATGTGAAATTGACGTATGCACCATGCAAACAATTTTAAAGCAAAGTTTAAACATGTGAAAGTTGAAAATATAAAAGAACTAGACACTCACTCATTAAAATTAAAAGAGAAGGTTGAGCGATCTTTTTTCTCTTCTTGCTTCCCACTGTTAGTTTCCTCTTTAGATTTTTCCTTTGCTTTTGCATCCTTTTTTACAGGTGTTGAAAAGTCAAGATCAGGCATTTTCATTTTGAATGATGATAACTTCTCAAAATCATCATCCAAATTAAAATCCATATCCCTGAAAAGAAAAAAATAATCTTCAGTAATTCATCCTACTCGCAGAAATAATTTCTACTGCAAACAGCACAATAATGACATACATACATAGAAAGCGCCAAAATAGGTAAAGTGGAGTGACGAATACAAGAAAGACAATACAATAGTGCACTATTCCTACATATGATATGCAGAATAGACTAACTATGCTAGGTTCTGATGCAATATAATGAGACCCGCATTTTACAATGACAATACAAGCTCCATAATTGGCAACACTTACAGTTTGCCAAAGTCGAACGCCTTTTTCTTTCCCTTAGTGGTGGTCTCAAAGTTAAAATCCATATCATCATCTTTCATTTTCCAGGAGCTAAGGAAATCTTTACCAATATCCTCATCTGTTTTAAGTGGAAAGAGGGATCTCAGTACACAAGTCCTGTAAATTATTGAAAAAGGTGATACTAGAAAGAAATAATAATCTTTAGACATTAGAATTGTTTGGCTAACTTTTCTAGTCTTGTGAGATTCCAGAGCAATCATTCATAAGGGTTTAAGGGTAGTGTTTCGAATAATGTCTTCATTAAGAAATCACCACAGTTAATCATAGCTACTAGCCTCTTGTTAATTTCCACATTCTTCTTAAAGCATTTTTTTTTCTTAATTTTAGCATCCAACGGGAATACCTAGCAGTGATATTTTCTCCTTTGATTTCGGGTCTGCAGCTGAAGAAGTTGCCTTCTTTGGCTCTGCCATCTGCAAGCAACATTCATGAATACTTAGCTTCATCTGCAGTCGTCAAAAAGACTGTCAACAAATCAATATGAATTGCAATAGGAAAGAAAGAAAGCAACAAAACGGTGCTTAAGCAGCATAATGAAAACTCTTGGTTCTAATCAAAGAGGTGAAGTGTAAGAAAAAAGAAGTGGTGATACAATACTTTAGTTCCACTACAGGCAAGTAAAACAGATCAATGACATTTGAATCATAAGATGTTGCTAATGGCATTAGTATTCAACAGGATTAACTGTCAGTGGACCAAACTTGTGCTATTAATGCAATTCACTGATTAGAAATAAGCAAACTAAACTCTTAGTGGCTATTGTGTAACAGACTAGCTATGAGGTTCCTTTGTAAATTTATATCTAATAGAATATCTCATGATGCATTATAAAGCAGTTCTACAAAACTTTAACGTGCAACCTTTCAAAATCAAATTGAACCAGAGATGCGAGATCTGGTACTGTTAGAGCAATGTATACTAAAACTATGCATTTCTAGGAAACATGTAACTAGTCAAATAAAGCTCAAGCACAACATGATTATTTATAAATTCAAAATACCTGAGCTGTTCAACAGAAATTTCCAGGTCAAATTAGTAAAAATAAATAAATCCACGCAAGGTGAGAAACATGAAAGTTAAAACACAATCAATAGAAGGATAATGTAGAGACGGTAATCATCAATTAATCAGTATGTGTTTTATCACAGAGAGCTAAAACTGAAACAAAACTGATCCAAAGCCTAAAATGGCTCCAAATTCACCAAAAGAACCGATAAGAATGACATATCTAAAGAAGAAAAAAAAGCTGGAGTTTAATTTAAATCGATTCTCTGATAAAACAAAACAAATTCGCAATAAATCAATCCAAAATTTAAACTCTAGAATGTTGCAAAATCTAAATAAACTCGAGATCTTTAATTTTACAAGGCTTATGATTTGCACTGCAGCGAAAGAAAGAGAGGAGACTTGCTTCGTCAATCTTGGTGAGAAATTGTGAGAAAACTAGGCTGTTTGGCTGGAAAGAAAATTGGCAAATGAAATGTTTGACGTAGAGAAGGAAAACGTGGGTTTTTGGTGAGTTGGTTTTCCTTGTGTTCATATGTGCTCTGTATTTATAGGGCTATAGCTTCAATAGTAGAAGTGGCGGTAGCGCGTGGAGCCACGAGGATCGTTTCAGGTTACCGTTTCTTATGTCAAATTCTTTTATTAATGTCTATACTATGCAATAGTTATGAATTTAATCCTTATATTAGGATTTGGTCATTTATAACATTGGGTAAACTACACTTTTAGTACATAAACTATCACTTTTATTTCATTTGGTATCCAAACTTTATTTTTTTCAAAATCATACCTAGTGTTTAGTTTAGGTTTCATTTTGGTACTCCGTCATTAAAAAATTAACAAAACTATTGACATGACATTTTCTTCATTGATGATGTAACATTATCTTATGGTGACACATCAATGTCACTGTTAAGTTTTTAATAGCGGGTAACCAAATGAAACATAAACTAAATGTTAGGTATGATTTTCAAAGAAATTAAAATTTGGGTACCAAAATGAAATAAAAGTAATAATTTAGATATTAAACATATAATTTACCCTATAATATTGTATCTTTTAAAATTTTAAATTTTTAATCCTGACTCAAATGATAGTTGTTATAATAGTTAAGTAAATTTGGTTGTTAGTTTATCTAATACGTTGAAATATAAATTAGTTAAAATTAATTACTATAGTTAGTAATTTGTTGTATGATTAGTTGGATAGTTAGCGGCCTAATTAGGATGTGTATAAATATCAATCTTTATAAGTTGATAAAAATGAGGAATAAAGTATTCTTTGTACTCTTATGTAGCTTTATTACTTCTCAAGATGGTATCAGTTGAGTAATTAAAAATTTTGTATAGGTTTAGAATTTTTTTATTATTAATAATGCATATATAATTGTAAAAATAATTGTTTGAATTTATAAATTTTAAGAAAAATAATATTTCTTTTAACTATCGAGACCAATTAATTTCTTAAGTAAGATTAAGAGTTCAAACTCTTTTATTTGCGAATTGAGTAAATTAGTTTGAGAGTATCATCTTATTATAATAAATCTATATAAAATTTAATTTAAATTATTTAATCAATAGATCGGATATAAATATTCAATTAAAAATTTTGTGATTATGAAATACTGATTTAAAATCAAAATTGAAGTCATATATAATTAACTCTATTTCTAAATTTTATTTTGATTTTATTTATTTTAACAAGATGACAAAAATCTAAGGCAAGAAAAGAATGAAAATCTATCTTCTTATCCGCAACCTATCAAACCAATAAGAAACTGTCAAGCTCCAAGAGTCAAGCAAATCACAGAATACTGTAACAGAAGACTAAACCACAGTCGCAGTCGTCAATGGCTTCCGTGCTTGGAACCTCAACCGCAATCTTAGCTTCTCAGTCTCTCGTTTCTCTTTCCTCAAAGCCTGTTTTTCCTTCTATCTCCATCAACCCAGGTACATCAATCCAACCATGTACTTTGCTTTATCAATGAAGTGGATTTTGGGTATTTTCCGTGGATTAAGATTTTACAGTTTTCGTTATGGTGGTACAGGCCAGGGTTATGGGAGGAAACTTTACGGAGGAATTGGGATTCAAGGAAGAAAGGGAAGGCCTCGATTTCATTTTGCAGTAACTAATGTTGCTACTGAAGTTAACCCAGTTGAACAGGTAACGAATTGGCTGTTTTATTTTGAAGAAAGTGTTTGTTTTTTGTTTATTTTTATTTTTTACATTTATATGGCACCTGGAGAATTGGGTATTTGAAGAACTGGTGGATATAGATAATAATTGCTTTTGAATTTATGTGAATGAAGGCTCAGAAGCTTGCTGCTAAAGAGAGTCAAAGACCAGTATATCCTTTTGCTGCTATAGTGGGGCAAGATGAGATGAAACTGTGTCTCTTGTTGAATGTGATTGATCCCAAGATTGGCGGTGTCATGATAATGGGTGATAGGGGAACAGGCAAGTCCACAACTGTTAGGTCCTTGATCGATTTACTGCCCGAAATCAGGGTAGTCTTCGGTGACCCTTATAACTCGGACCCCGAAGATCCGGAAGCGATGGGTATAGAAGTCAGAGAGAAGGTCACAAAAGGAGAGGAACTGGCTATTACAATGACTAAAATCAACATGGTCGATTTGCCATTAGGTGCTACCGAAGATAGAGTCTGTGGAACCATTGATATTGAGAAAGCCCTCACCGAGGGTGTCAAGGCGTTTGAGCCTGGGCTTCTAGCTAAAGCTAATCGAGGGATTCTTTACGTCGATGAAGTTAATCTTTTGGATGACCACTTGGTGGATGTTCTGTTGGATTCCGCTGCATCAGGATGGAACACAGTTGAGAGGGAAGGTATTTCGATCTCTCATCCTGCCCGGTTTATTCTGATTGGTTCGGGCAATCCAGAGGAGGGGGAGCTTAGACCACAGCTTCTTGATCGATTCGGAATGCATGCTCAAGTCGGTACGGTGAGGGATGCTGAGCTTAGAGTGCAGATTGTGGAGGAGAGAGCCCGGTTCGATAAAAACCCAAAAGAATTCCGTGATTCGTACAAGGCAGAGCAAGAGAAGCTCCAACAGCAGATTGCTTCAGCTAGGAGTAATCTTTCTTCTGTTCAGATTGATCAGGACCTAAAGGTTAAAATTTCCAAGGTTTGTGCTGAGCTGAATGTTGATGGATTGAGGGGAGATATTGTCACTAACAGAGCTGCAAAAGCTCTTGCAGCTCTTAAGGGAAGAGATAAAGTCACCGCAGAAGATATAGCCACCGTCATCCCCAATTGCTTAAGACACCGTCTTCGCAAGGATCCTTTGGAGTCTGTCGACTCTGGTTTACTTGTTATAGAGAAATTCTACGAGGTTTTCGGGTGAGAGATACGGTACTAAAGTCCTTTTTCTAGACATCTTTAGCTGCTCCCAAATTGTTTTGTTATGTTTCTCATTTCATACAATCGAACATTATGAGACATTCAGATCAATGTAGAGTCTTGGTCTAATCGAATCATGTGAAAGAAGAGTAAAATGAAGGAAATATTACTTTGAATGATTACTCTTGTTTATATTTTCTGCTGGATTATTACTTTTCAAAATATGCCCATTTGGACGTGTATTACATAGATTTGCATTACAATACGACTTTATTCAATGCATAACAGTAATTTTGTTAACATCTCTAAGAAATTCATACTTGGGACTCTGTTCTGGGAAAGCCGGTGGTCGCTGGTAGACCACCGAAGCAGCTCTTATCAGAATGCGAGCAGTTAAACCCCATATTAAATACTTTTTATCCTCAGTTTCATAGTCAAAGAAGTGAAGAAGATACTTCTCTCCCATCATTTCTCTCTCTTCTGCAATTCGATTTTCATCCTGATCCGAACAAATCATACATTGTTTTAGATAGGGTGAAAATAAGTACAGTACCAGGACGAGATAAAGAGAAAAAACCTTAATGAACATCTCCAGTGGAGCATCAAACACAGCGTCCACTTCAGCGGGATTCGGCACAGGCTTGAATGCTTTCCGATCGTGAAGTATGCCGATAACAGGAATAACTCTTAGAAGATGCTGCACAGAAATCCATTAATCTGTAAATAGCTGAAAGCCAAAGCAGAATACGAGTTAATTGCAGGTATAAGATAAATATTCCAATACCTTGGACAAAAATGATTCAAGAACAGTAACAACATTCACAAGTGAAGGGTCCAATCCAATTTCTTCTTTAGCTTCTCTAGTAGCTGTATCGTCATCATCTTTGTCCCCTTCCTCTGCTTTACCACCTGGCAATGAAACTTCCCCTGCAACAAAGTACATGATATATGGCAATTCATCTAGATTTGCGATAAAACCATTTTACTACAACTCAAATCTAGTACACAAATTCAAACGACCTGAATGAGTAGACATTCTTAAAGCTCTTTTGGTTAGTATGACACGCAAATCCCCGGCATCTCCTTCAAAGAGACATATCAAAACAGCAGCTCTTTTGGGTCTAAACGTTTCCGGGTTCTGGACTACTTCCCCGGCTGCTTCCTGGATGATTCGTTCGATTTTTCGTCCAAGGAACTTGCTGGTGCCTTGTAATGGCGCAGCTGCTGAGTCAGAGCTAAGAGTCTCTGCGATGGATACGAAGGCAAGCCGCCATTCTGTAAAGGTGATGAAGCCATAATTGGAGAAGAGCATGAAGCCAAATTCTGCATTGTACAAATTTGTATGCAGAGGGAAAGGAGCTAACTAATTACCCCTTTTTATTTTTGAACCAGAAAATTTTAATGAGTTGCTTCCTTTCTGGTTTAGTAGCTTTTACTCCATTTGTGGAGCTAGAAATGGAGGACGAGGCTAATAATAGCAAGGGGCCTAAAGAAAGCTGGTTGCTGATCATATAATAAAGCTTCAATTAATTATTTGGTTCTAAGCTGTCAATTATAGATTGCATCTTTGAGGTAGTGCTGGAATTATCCAATATCCATTATGGGGCAGGTTAGCTAAAGAACAAGGCTGGCACGGCAATTCGCGATAGGGTGAACTTGCCACCCGTTTAGGGGTCCAACTCGACTCAACTTCGAAAAAAATATACTGTGACTTCTGTAAAAAAATACATTACCACAAAAAATATAGTCCCTTTCCATTATGCATGCGTCAAACACAAGTTCAAAGGCTAGAAAACAAAAATAACAAATAGAAAGAATCACCATTTCTGTTCTCATACAAAGCATACTTTCTTGCCATTATTATCTACAAAGGGCTTAGAAGCAAAAGTAACGTATAAATATATGTACCTTTCCACACCCAAATAAAAGAAAACAAATGTGCTCACTTATTAAACCAAATTGACATTCTAACTATATATTTGGCTTGCAGCTAAGTGGTTTTCATATCTTCTTTATGGATGTTTAGCTTTTCAGTTTTAGGGTTCTCTCGACGTGCAGCTGGTTTCTCAGCACCGGGGTAAGACAACCTCCTAGGCTTCACGGTTTCCTTCCCATTGGACAGTGGGGGTTTAACTGAAAGGGATGCTTTTGGCTTCGGCGAATCTGAGGTTTTACCTGCCTTGCTTGTCTGTTTGTTATGTGGTTTCTTAGGGGTTGATTTAGGTGTCACCGATGGAGTAGGGAACCGCCTTTCCCATGGTCGAACAGCAATCCATCGTTCCACCCAACTCCAACCCCAATTAGCATTAGCAAGTTTATAACTGGCGAGTCCATTATTGATAGAGTTGGGAGCCCTCCACTGCAAACCATGCATATCCCACAGACTGTTAGTATAACTTTCAGAAATAAATAAATAAAATACAACCTCTATGGATCGCATACCTGATGGGAGAAGGCGTATGCCATGGTTCGCTCCCGCTTAACAGCAGCTTCTTCTTTCTGCTGGATCTTTGTCAGAACTTCTTCCTTTGTGTCTGGGCCACCAGACCATTCCACCTGTCACCAATTTTAGATTAAGCAACAGAAAAATAAACTGAAAAGGCCAGCCTCAGCTAAATTATGAGCTTGCAAATATTAAATGAATTAAGATCTCTATATGATCCTTCGAGAAAGCAGATGAAAGAAATCGTCCCTAAGATACAGATACATAAAGCTAGCATGCACGAAATGTGATACAAATAAAAATCAGAAATCATATAAGCAACAACTAAAGAGAATTTGGAAAAAGAGAACTAAATCATTGCAGTCAAAATTCTAGGCCATCATAGATTTAAACCTTCATTGATTGTATTCCGGTATGCGTTTAAGGTGATTGATTTCTTGTGATTTAGGATAACAGGTTTTAACTAAAGACTCATTCAGAAAATGGTCAGCTGACAGATAGCATTAACGAATCATGCTGTCAATATCTTAGTCCATGCAAGTTCTCATGAGCCAGGGCTCTCGATCTAACCTCTAGCTCATGCATTTTTGCCTCAAGCTTTAGCCGATTAGCTATTTTCTTCTGTCTAAGACAGCCTTCAGTTACCATACACATTCGGCGAGCTCTTATCTGAGTTTGTATGTTGCTCCAGAAATGAAGATAATCTAATGTTGTCGTAGCTTGCTTTTTGATGGAATAAGTTTGGGTTTTAGCCTGTAATCTTACTGTACCTTTCAATCGACGTAAAGTTTTTCTACCCTGCATCATGAGGAAAGAAATTATTAAACCATTTTACAAAGTCTAAAGTGAACATAATATTATAGTTATAAGATATCTGCAGGTGAATTAAAAAAAATGAGAGGGAACCAAAGCAATGTTAAAAAGGGCGCAAAGAACACTAAGACGATAGAGATTTTATAGTCAAGGTGCAAGGCACAAGGCGAAAGGCGTATTAAAGTAAGGCGCACTTTTTAAAAATAAAAAATATACAAGTTGTTACATCCACCATTAAACCCTGAGAACCCAAGCAAACCCCCCTTCCCTCTTTGGTCCACAATTCCATATAAGAAACTGAAACAATAAATAAAAGTCTAATAATGAGTTGGAATCAACTTCTTACTTGTCTCCTTATCCCTCCACCTCACACCTCTCAACAAACGTGTCTTCCTCCTTTTTAACACCACCTACACCCTAACCCCACTTCTCCAAATCCAGTCTAATCCTCCATTTTCGTATTTCTAAATTGTGTTTCCAAGCTTTTCTTTCTTACTCGTGGATTCAAATTTCTCCATGTGCTAAACGTGCTGCTCAAGAACCCATCACTATGCAACAAAACTAACCGAAATCTGTCTTTTCCTCCCCCGATTCTCAATCCGTGCATGCATGCATGCCTCTCTCTCATTTTGTCTGCTCAGTTGTCTTTTTTTAACACTTTATCTGTATTTCACGCAAAAATTTCATAAGTCTCCCATAAAACTCTTTTTTCTAATCAACCCCACCATATTTTACTCTTTTCTCCACTGACATTTCATTTTTCTCTCTTTTTTGTTGTTGATACACAAGTCAGTATTTAAAACAAAATAAAAAAAGAGAAAAAAAAACCAAAAAGAATTGAGGCGGCGCCTTGCTGCGCTTCATTGAAATCGCCTCGCCTCGCCTAGACCTAAACTGCGCCTTTTTAAACACCGAACCAAAGGCACACTTCCATTATCAACAAATAACAGGAATTGAGAAACAGAGGAGATAAAGCACATTGTAATGACATTGATTAATTAGCAAATACCATGAGCCTATATTGCTACTATTCTCTTTTGTCTTGTTCATTAACTCGAGCATGATCTTAAAAGGAGTCAAACAAGAAATTCAACTGTATAATATATTCATCTAGAGAGGAATTCTCACTGTTCAAACTCGTACACAAAACATAGCCAGTACCGAGATGCACTAAAATTGACTAAAAGGCAGGTAAATCTCTTCATCAATACCTCACATATCCAAGAAAGACCAATGTTCTATTCTCTAACGATAACAGGTAACAGTTACAACTGGAAGAGGTTTTTGATTGTTCTGTGAGGAATTCCGGTCAGACAATCATGCAAGCATAGGATACATACACATAGAAGAGTAACTGCACATGTGCAGGCATATTATGATTTATTTTATATAACGCGCAAATCAACATACCCTATAGGCCCGGAATGCAGTTTGAATCCGAATTGCTGCTAAATCCTCGATAGGTATACCAAGAGCGTTGGCATCTCTACTAATAAACCTTGTTTTTCGCTGGCGTTTCTTCCATTTGGAGCCCTTGGATTTTGTAGAAGCTGAAGATCCCTGCACCGGACAAATAAGACCAATTACAAGGGCCACAATAAAGCTATCTTATCTATACCCTTTATTGTTCCAAACATATCCATGTCCAACACAGGTGTCATCACATTCAGACATAGATATAGGAATATGATCCTCCAAAAAAGTACTAAAACATTTAGATTACACCCAAATCCAACACTCATCTTAAGTCCAGATAACACAAATCAATGATATGATGAACCGAATATAGCAAATGGTATCAGGGAAGGTGCCAGAAGTGACACGTATGGCTGAATAGGGGCTCGACGTCTGCGAGAGATAAAAGTAACTAAAAGCTTCCAAACTTGTCATTCCAATGGTGCATAAGATTACACTTTCCAAAACATTTGGAACTTCAGATGACATTAGTCCAAAAGATTCAAATTGCAAAAGAATTATTTGAGAAGCAAACTCAGATTTTATTTATAACGTGATAACAGAGAACGTTGCATAGCTTCGTTTGTGATTGTTAAACAAAAGCTTTTGAAAGCTGGTAAATGATATATACCTTCACTTGCTTTGAGCTGTCGTCTTTCACTATCTTTATAATTGTCTTCAACACATTTCCAGAACCCATTATTGATAGCAAGTCTCTTTATCCCACCGAGAATCAAAACTGACAGTATCTGTCAATGTAAATATAAGCAGAAACAACAGCAAACCGGAACACAAATAACTCAGTTTAATGTAAAAACTTGCCAGAAAGTTTTGAAAGTTCAGATTTTTTTTGAGCTATGGACATGGTTTGATTTGAAAGTTGGAACAAATGTTCAAGAAAGTAATTAGCTGACCTAACCAGCCAAGATTCTTTTCACAGATGAACAAGAAGACACCCAAAAAAGTCAACCCATCTATTTTACTTACAGAAACACGACAGTTGTAACAATCTTAAAAATTGAGGAACAGAGAACCAAAAACCATTAACCAAATATCAGATGTTTAGAGGGAAATTATGTTTGTTTCTCTGATTCTATTCAACTAATACTACTAAAATAAAGATCCCAGCCATCCCTATCAATCCTGAATATCCAAAATGACAATATTTTTCCCAAACAAAAGCCGAATCAATAAGAAACCAAACCGAAAACATGGGTTACAAATGGACATACCAACAAAGCCGTCAACCCAGAGACAAAAATAGGTACTTTTAGATTAAGGCAGGCACTGAAAGCAAAGAGCTTGAGAGAGAAAAAAGTGGTGACAAGAACAGTAGATGTTGTAGTAAAGAAGAAGGAAAGCCTGAAAATCAAAAGAGAAGGAAATAATACAAGGGTTGTTGTGGAAAATGGATTGCCATGGCCCGGCACCAGCTTTTCACCTCTCTTGTTATCTATTTTTCTTATATATTCCTTTTTGGTCCCAAGGAAATAAAATAAAGAGGAATCATATCAAACATGTTTTTGAGGGCTCAACAACTGATAATGAAGAGCTGGGAGAGATTGTCTTAGTGGGTGAGAGTGTTGGTTGGGTTTCTTTTTAGACTTTTTCCACATTTGCGAAAATTCAACATTAGGGAGATATGGTAAGCTAGGCTAAGCCGTAACAACAAAGACAGTACAACAACAAATTGATAAGTTCATGGGCAACAACATTTGGTATTGCAATGGCATATCTAAGTGGTGGAAGAATTGGGTGATGAAAATCAAGTGGAGGTCATTAATCATTGTTGAACAGTGTTGAATTGGGGAAGGATGGAAGCAAAATGGATGGGGTTTTTGTTCTTCATGTAATTATTTATGGGTAAAGTATAGTAATAGTCACTAAACTTTTCTAAAGCTTTGATTTAGGTCCTCAACTTTTAAAACTTGCAACACAATCCTTCAGCATTTAGTCCGTTTGCAATATGGTCCCGCCGTAACCAGCCATTAATACGTTTGCAATATGGTCACTGAACTTTTCAGGCGCTTGCATTTAGGTCCCCCAACTTTTAAAAATTGTAACAGAGTCCTCAATTTCTAAAACATGTAAAAAATCCAATTCGTTCACGATATATCAGTCCCATAATCAACATGAACTTATTAAAAAGAATATCATCTCACAGGACGCCGAAAACCATAGGTCGGATCAATACAATTCCCAATAAACTAGTACCAGCAGTCTCTCGGATTGAGCCTGGCAATTTCACTATGTCGATACTCACAACCAATTTCCTGATTTAAAGAAAACCCAAACAAGAAGATCAAAAAAATTTAGCTTAATACCCTCTTTCACTTCTATTCTGATGGACTGAATATCTTTCATAAAGAGTACTAAAAGTTTTGATTAAGAATAATGAAAGAAAATTAGATGGTTTTGGTTCAAAACTAATATTGAATATCCAAATCATTGATATGCATTTCCAGAAACATAAAAATTTCAACAAAAAACACACAATGCGAGTTGAAAATGGGAAAGTGCGAAAGAGGAAAAGCTTACTTCCGGATAACGCAAAAGAGAAAATAAATACATTCTTGCAAGTGAGGAGAGAGGCTAAGAAATAAACGCAATCGGTGTTGCGTTACAACAATTCTTCCTCCATTTTTTCTTTGTAAATAAAAAGATGAAAGACGGAGCACTGCTTGGGTTTACAATTTTACATGGCGGAAAATTGAAGAACAAAAACCAAACGAGAGTGCATGTGAGCGAAAGAGACTGATTGGTGAATGCGCTGCTTGAGATTTCATTATATTTGATCATCTGTTAGAAAATCTTTAACCACAAGAATTAAACGAATAAATTATTATATGTCATTTATACAAAATAATTATAGCTTTGTTGGTGACTTTCAACAATGATATTTAGTTCATTTTAGTAGTATTTGTCAACTCTGCATTTCTAATCCCATTTTTTTCTCACAACCATTTCATTGAACATCTATGCTTCACCTGATATGACTTGTATTTAACATTACACCTTGAATCGTTGATGGTCTCGATAATCCATTGGCCGAGTCTTCTCTCAATGGACCCTTATTCAAGTCAACACCTCCACATAATTCAAAGTTAGATTAGAATTTCCCATGCATCCTCAACTGAAAAGTTACACTAGAAATGAGAATAGAGAAGCAAAAAAGGAAATTCGAGATCGAAAAGAAATTTGGGATTTAGAATGAAATTGAGGATTGTATTGCAAGTTTTAAAAGTTAGGGGACCTAAATGCAAGTGCCTAAAAAGTTCAGTGACTATATTGCAAACGTACTAACGACAGTGTAACAGCGTCAAACGACCGGTTACGTCGAGAACCATATTAAAAATGAACTAAATGTTGGAAGACTGTATTGCAAGTTTTAAAAGTTGGGAGACCTAAATGAAAACTTTAGAAAAGTTCAGTGACCATTACTTTACTTTGCCCTTATGTTATTTGGGGTTTACTTTCAGGTGGGTCTTTGTGGAATATTAACCACTTGTTTTATTGGATAAAATAAATGATAAGATCGGACCTTTGAAATGGTAAACGGTTTTACTGGTTTGCGCTTTCATCGTTCATGATGTGAGGTTTCGCTTGCGTCAATTGCGTGGCCTACGGGCCGAAAACGAGAGGAAAAAAATTATACTTGGTCCCATCAGGGCTCGAACCCGTGACCTTTGTCTCATAATAGCCACGTTCTAAACTACTGAGCAACGAGGCGTAGATGGCCAGATTTTGTAAAATACAACTAATAACTTATATTTATACTTCATGGAATTAATCAATCTATTTTTTTATTTAATAATCGAAGAGCCACTAATTACACCATTAAAATACTTCCATTAAATATATAAACCATAAAATGGAAAAGAAAGTGAGAACCGTCGTAGTGGAAAAAGGAAATTTGTAGCTCAAGTTAGGACTTTAGCATTTCAAATGATGGTCACCCTTTTGATCTCATAGTCTAAAAATCTATAATATTTTATTCTCAACGTCAAAATATCCAACGGGTTACGTAAAACAAGCGGCGTTTGAAAAGTTTACACCAAATCCTTGGAAATTTTTGATCTTATGCCGTTGAATATCTCTTAATTTATCAGCTAACACCCTTTAATGAGCCATTTATGACATTATTATATGAACAAATCACAAAGAATGATTAATTTGTAGGCAATATCTGCAGTTGTAAAGTCAAACTCAAGATACGTATGATATTGAAAAGCGTTCAACTGTAGCCTTCTTGCGTTGAAATTTATGTGTTTTCAAGAGGAAACATTTCTTGCAATTCACACTAGCAAAACTTAAAAACAAAGGCGCTTCTTTCTCCGATAAACTGATTTATATTAAGGTTCCATTGATGAGAAACTAAGCCAAAACTATGGGTTCGGAAGATGATGATGACGACCAGACCTTCGGTGTCACCCGCAGGATCATGTTGGCGGCGGTGGGATCTTTGGTCGGAGTCGTGATGCTCATGATCATACTCCATCTCTATGCAAGGTATCTTCTCAGACGCCAAGAACGGAGACGTCAAGCTGAACTTTACAGTTTGAGAACTGATCGAATCACAACGGCAGATGAAATTCGCATCATCGAACCGCCCAAGTCGGGGCTCGACCCTTTGGTTATAGCTTCATTGCCGATGTTCACATACACTGGTCAGGTCGATGAGCCGACAGAATGCTCGGTTTGTCTAGGGAACATTACGGAGGAGTCCATGATTAGGCTTTTACCGAATTGTAACCACGTATTTCACGTGCAGTGTATAGATACGTGGCTTGGGTCACACACGACTTGTCCCATATGTCGCACCGCCGCTGAACCGTCAGTTCAGCCGGTGAACGTCGAGTCGGTCGACAGGGTTCGAGCAACGGCTCCTCCGATAGAGGAGAATGCGTCCCAGAGTGCTACCCAAGTGGAAAAGGACGGTGGACCATCGGGTTCAGGTTCAGGATCAGGATCAGGATCACGATTTGGTTCCTTCAGATGGATGCTTGGAAGGCAGAGATCATCAAACAGGATTCAAAGCTTTGAAGATCATGAAACTGGCAGTGCTCAAAATTTGGAGAGGTAATGTGTAGGGTTTCAAATAGCGGTCGCGGTCATGTTTTCGAATATTTTGAGTTTACTGTGATTGTGGCCGTTGCGGGCTTGGGCTCTATTACGGGTAACTCGGACGACGGTAAAACTGCTATATCGCGGACGAAATCACGTTTTCGGAATGTGATTTGAAACTCTGGTAATGAGTATAATATCATTGAAAATTGATCTGTTTTAGAGATACTGTGAAATTGTTTTATGGAGATTTTCTTTTCTTTTCTGTAAACTGATTTTTAAAATATCGATTGTCAGTTTATGAAAAAATATTTCAGAAAATAAAGACTATAATAGTGTGAATTTGCTCTCAAAATTCTCACGATTAAGATCTAAAAGTACTGAATAAATATATATCGATGGGTACATATAACTTTTAAATTTTGAAAGATAATATCTAAAAGTATTATTACTTAAAAGTATTATTACTTAAAAGTATTTTTAACAATATCAAACATATAATGAGATTAGTCAATTTAAATAATTATGATTTTATTTTTTATTTGAAGGATAACATAATGGTAAGATGAAATAAAATAAATGATTGATTGAATAATCTATTAAGTGATAAATAAGTTTTAGTTTACTTATATACTTCAATTTTTTTTTTTTTGTTAAGGAGTAGGATTCAAACCTGAAATTTACTTTCCACAACTAAAGGCAAATCTTTCCAATAAATCTCTCTCCATTTTTTTTGTTACATATGCTGTAAATCTTTTGATACTAGTGTTTTTTTGGTAATCGTCCATTAATACAAAATCTTAATAAGATTTCTATTAAAAAATAGTCTTACGAATTAAAAAAATTAAGTGTCTGAATTGTTTTTGTATTCAATTAATTTTTAATTTAAAAAATAATTAGTGTGGTTCTTTGACTGGTAAAACTATTATTGATCGTTATTTTGTTGATGTGATAGTTTATGATGGTACATAATATTGATGTGATGGTTCACAAAATTGATATGAAAGTTTACATGTGAATGATGATATATAGGAATCTAATTAATTTTTAAAAAAAAGTTTGGAGGTTTAATTTTTTTTTATAAAGTTTAAGAATTTATTTAATTTTTAAGTAAAAAAAATAAAATTTGAAAAAAATTGAATAATAAAAACTTCAAAAAATTAAATAAAATTTAAAATGTAAGAAGTTATAAAATAAAAAAAATAAAAATGTTTATAAAGTATTAAAATTCGAACAGTTTTATTTGAAAAAACTCTTACTATCTCTTGTCAAAATAAGTCTGTTACCATTTATCAAATATATTTTCAATAGAATCAATTTTATTTTATCTATCAACAGATTTTGAGGTTCCTCATATGATATAAAATGATGAGATCTTCTACTAAACTCATGAATATTATATTTAAAGTAAGATTGAAAATATATTTAACGAATAATGAAAAAGCTCATGTTAATGAGAGACTCGTACATTGAGAAATTGATAATAAAGTAAGATTGAATTTGATTGAAAATATATTTAACGAATAACGATAAGCTCATGTTAATGAGAGAGAGTTGAAGTTTTATATATATGTATATATATATATAAGTGTCCAGATTTTCTAATACTTTATAAATATTTTTATTTTTTTTTTTTATAATTTATAATTTATCATCATATAACTTCCTATATGTTTAAATTCATTAATTTTATTTACTTTTTTGAAACTTTTAAAGTGCTTTTATTTTTAGTAATTTTAAATATTTTTAATTTTTAATTTTTAATTTTATTGAAAGGTTAAACAAACTCTCAATGCTTATAAAAGATCAAATAAATCATAAAACTTAAAAAAAAAGTCAATTAAATCCCTCTACCATATCATTATTCACATGTAGATTAACACATCAACATATATAGACTATCATATAAGTATCATGGAACTAATTATATATGTAATTAATATAAAAATGGAACTAATTATATACATATTTAGTTAGTATAAAAACTTTATAATGTGTCTTTGTTTGCACTTAAAATACTTCATGATGCTATGAAGATCCTTCTCATAATTGCAACAGATAATGTTCTATCTAACCCATGTGACAAATCATATTGCAATTGCCAAAATCTTCGATTATTAATGGGGAAAAAAGGCAAGAAATGACGCAAATAAGATTTTAGGCCAAACATACTAAATTTATACATTAATTAATTAATATTTAGTTTAAATTAATTAATACTTAATTTTGTAAATCCCCATTATTTAGTGGGGATTTCTTTAAACAAAAGTTTCTTTAAACATATAAATTCGCAAATATTGTGAATATTTAGAAGAGTGAATATAAAGAAATAAAGTAAATTTATTGTGAATATGAATTCAAGTGCTTTAAATTCGTGTTATTTTTGTCTAAATTAATTAATACCGTGGATTTGCTGATGGAAGGATTATATGGTTTGGGTCTAATTATACTCTCAGTCCCTGTAGTCTTTCTACCTCTAAAATTTAATCTCTTTATTTTTTAATCATTAAATTTAATCCTTCTAATATTTCAATTTAATAATTAAAGTCCAATTAATATTATCGTTAAATGAATTTCTTAAATTGAACCACATGATATTTGAAAGTAAAAAAAAAAGAAATTGCTAATGTATCCAATATTACACTCATGATATGTCAGATAAATAATACAAATGTTAAATCTAGGGTTGTGAGGTTTTTCGATTTTGAATCTAGACTTGTGAGTTCTTCAATACTATTTCATACTCCCATAGTGAAAGTCGATGCTTTTTTCTTACATGACTTTCATGCGACTTTAAATTGATTGAGTGAATTTTTTTAAGAAAATGTTAAATAAATCAATTTAACAGAAATCCTTGACGGTGTAATCAATTGAACTTAAATCATTAATCCAAAGATTCAATTTCCTTAAAATAAAACTAAATAGTCAAATTTTCAAACATGCAAAGAGTTTAAAGGATTGGAAGCATAATTAGACCTATAGTATTCCTAAACTTAGGAGGTAAGGTTTCAAGCTATAGCAAAAGTGGGGTCCAAATTACATGTCTTATTAGTAGGGGAAGGAAAAAATTGTACCCGACTTGATCTTATATGGTTATTTTCGTTTTTAATTCGGGTTTTGAGACAAGTTGTGATGTATGTTCTTGATAAAAAGGGTTAGAATTTGGGCAAAGTCGGGTTTAGGTTGTATCCGCACCGTCCTGGTATAATTACTAAAATGTCATTATTAGTTGAGATATTACTAAAGTACTACTATATATGTTAGGGTTTCATATCTTCCCAAGTTCATTTCATTTTTCTGCACCTACCCCCACTTCGAGCACCCACTCTACTCTCTCGACTGTTGCCCTTTCGTATCTCTAAACCTTAAGCTTGTCATAGTCTCCTACGACATCTTCATATCTAAACGACGGTAACTCAGGCTCTCTCTCTCTCTCTCTAGCCCTCACTTGTTTTATATATTATTTTCCAGAAATGCAATTCCTAACTCTAAAACTTTATCTTGTAGAATCTTATTCTCTCTCTTAACACTCAGTTTGACTCAGTTTTAAAATCTTCGTCCATCGTCATCATCTTTCTTCATACTTTGGTTAAAAATATTGTGAAAAAATCGAACCCAAGTCAATTTTATTCTTTTTCCTATGAATTTTTTTTAGTTTTATTAGAGCGCAAGGCTCTTAACCTTGTGGTCGTGGGATCCGAGTCCCACGATAGACAATTCATAATTCTGACTGTCGGAGGTATTACGCGGAAGCTGTTGTATTGGGGGCAGCTTATTACCTTACCTCCCCTCACCCCATTACATATGGGAATAGGGTCAACTAATTTTTTTTTATTTGGTTGGTGAGAAAATCTGAGAAAAGCCGAGAAAACGTGAGACTGGTGAGTAAATATAAAAAAATATTTTTAATTTAGGATGAGTTTAGGGTAAGTGAAACATCATATAAAATTAGAACCAATTAGATTTGATGAAAACCTCTAATTCTCGAATCGGGATAAGTCTGACCAAAATCTACTCCTATGGGTCCATCCCTACTCATTAATATTATCATTTAAGTGGGCCCTATAATAAACTCCTTTAGATTCCATGCAAATATGTTACTCTAAAGTGGGGAGTGGCATTTAAAAACCTCCCCAACAAATGCACATACAAATGGCAAAGATTTTGAGACGCATCAGACATGCACCTTCCTATACAAATAGGACATTTTCATGTTCACACTACTATACATTGACAAGTGCCAATAGAGAGAGGAAAAAAATTATCAAAATCGAGGGACTAAAAACAACAACAACAAAGGTTCCGGTGACTAGGTTTTAGTTTTCTTTTCAGACAAACAAGACATTTTTCCTCATAAAATCTCGGAAAATCGAAGTAATAAATTGCATGTTTTTTTTCCTAACATAGTATATAGATGCATATATTGGTGTTCTCTTTCTAAGATCTATTATCTGCTTAAAACATGGGCGGCTTTCCTTAATGCCACTTCTTCATTACGCATAGCATATAGACATTTTCTTTTTTCAATTTCTGATCTTGAAAATTTTACCTAGGAAAGAACAAGACCCTCTTCAGCATGACGAAGAAGCAGAGAATCCCCAAACGAGGGCCGGGAGTAGCTGAGCTGGAGAAGATATTGCGTGAACAAGAAGAACATAATGGTCATATGGGAGAAGGAAATGGGATTGGAGGAATCTCTTCTTCTTCATCACTTTCAGTGACTGCAATTCATGGTGATGGCAGTGGCAGTTCACAGTCAAACGTGGGCGCTGCCGATGGTCGTAGTAAAGGGATCTACATCGGCGGATCGGGCGTCTTCTTGCCTGAACAAACCTTGTTGCCGATATCGTGGGGGAAACACGAGGAAGCTCCAAAAGTGGCTACTGGTTTCTCTTTTCCTGTGCTTGCTTCGAACCGATCTCCTCCTCCTCCCATGCTGCAGAAGAATCATCTTCCAATGGTTAAAAAAAACACCCAGTTTTGTAATATGTTTAGTTGTTTACACTGTTTTTTTTTTTTTGGACTTTGACATGCATGAATTCAAAACCAGATGGATCTTTTCCCGCTGTCTGCAACAACAAAAACTCAGTCATCTTCTCCAGGGGAGTATCATCATGTAGAGCCCCCTTCAAACCAAAAAACTAATCATCGCAACTTCATATCCACACTATTTGGCGAGGAAGACAAGGCAAGTGCATGCAAATTTAGTGTTCGTGTTTACTTAATTTGTTTGCCATGTTTGCCTTAATCATACATATAA